GTTTTTTTCGGGGGGGGGGGGGGGTAGCAAGGGGGAAAGGGGGTCGGGGCGGCAGGTCACCGGCCCTGCCCCGCCCTCCCCTCCATCCCGAGCGGAAGCCCATCTGCTGAAAGAAGTCCGCACACCAGCCTGCTGTCACCGCCATCCTGCCATCGCTCTCTGGCGCCCCTCCCCCGTACCCAGCCAGAAACATTCCTCCCCACTCGTGCACTCACCTCCCCCCACCCCACTCACCCAGGCTTCGTGGTGTGGGCGCTGGTGCTGCTGGTGCTGCTCGCATCGCTGCCGCGGGTGCGCAAGTCGCTGGCCACGCCCGTGGCGCTGGGAAACCGCACCTTCTTCGGGCGGCGGGGCGACAAGTCGGGGAGGAGCGAGTGAGGGGCTCGGATCCGGCGTCACCAAATCTCCGCACACCCGTGGCCTACCACAAGGGCCCCTCTCCACTCAGCCGAGCCTTGCCTCGGATGCTTTGTGCTATTCAATGTTTGCAACCAAGTCTTCACGGTGAATGGGAATGGCGAGGATTTGAGTGGCTGAGACCCTTTGCGTGGACTCGGGGCCGGAAGGGGCAAGCACGGCATCACACGTCGTATAGCTTGCGCCTCGTGGGAAGGGGGCGAATCAGCTTCGCGGCCGAGGTTCGCATCAGCGGTTGAGCAGAGCAACCGCTTGGTGTCCTCAGGGGTAAGTTGTTGACCTCGCAACGGTGCCAGACCAGCCTTGCAGCAAAAATGCCGCCCGCCGACAGCTGGGGTGCAGCATGCGCTCCCAGCACAGGCGAGCACGGTGCTCAGCGCCGCCGCTTGCGTGGGCGTGCCGCGGCGGCGGTCTCCTCGACGCGCTCCCCGGCATCACGCCGGGTCCCCCTGGGCTGCGTGGCGATCTCTACCGTCCCCAGCTGCGTCCCCAGCTGGTCGAGCTCGGCCGCCAGGGGCTCTTGGGCAGCTGCGTACTCGTCCTCGGCTGCACAATGTTGGGGTTGGGGGATTTATAAACGAGGGATCGGGGTGGGGCAAAGCCTCAGATGCTCTTCGTGAATCAATGCCGCCAGCACCCACCGGGCCCCATCCCGGCCTGGCGCCTCGGCGACGTGGCTTCCGACGCATCCCATCTCGCCCTTCCAGACTGCTCACCGGCACGCAGCGCGCCCCGACCCTCCTCAAACGCGTCCCGGGCGCGCTGGAGCTCCTGCCTGGCGGTCAGCCACCGCTCCAGCGCCGCCACTCGGCCGGCGGCCACGGCGACCGCCGCCTGCGCCTCCTGTGGTGTGGAGCGGGAAGATCGGCAAGCAGCCTTGGTGGCGAGCGTGAGGCATGCGCAGGCGAGTGTGCCCCTCAGCTCTGCCCTGCTTGCTCCAGGCAGGACGCAAGCCTAGTCCGTGAATCCTCGGAAACACCCCAACCGACCTGTCCGCCGCCCAGGCTGCCAAACCTCCACTCCGCCCGCTCCAGGGGGGGCACGTTGAACCCCGACCCCGACACGATCCCCCGCCCCGTGATGCGGCGGCAGTCCAGAGTCACGATGTCCGACACCCCGCCCCGCAGGCGCCGGACCACGAGCTCGCGGTACGCCGCCGCGCTCTCAAGGCTCTCGAACACCAGCGCCGGGCCGAAGAGGCCATGCAGGAGAGCGGCGCGCGTGCCCGGCGTGCAGGGGCGCACCAGGTTGAACAGGTAGCCCAGGCAGCCGGGAGGCCAGACGGGGATGATGCCGGCCTCGGCGGGGGCGCCCCGCGCTGCGGCCTTGGTGTGCGGCAGCGGCACGGGCAGGGGGGGGTCTGTGCCAGCCGACGCCGAGGCGACCAGCGCCCGCGCCAGCTCGCCTGCCGCGTGGAAGCCGGGAATATCACCCTGGGTGGGACCCCTGTGAATGGAGGGGGGTACGAGGGGGAGGGAGGGATGCAGGGTGGGACCAAAGAGGGCTTGCAGGAACAAGGAGGAATGTATTGCTGGGTGTCCCAGGTACAGGGTGTGAAGGAAGGTCTGGGTGGTGAGCCACCCCACCACCAGGCCTCGGCTGCCTGGGCACCCATCTGCACCACGCTCCACATCACCCTCCCCCACTCGGTCAATGGCAACAACAGAATGAGCAGGTCTTCACCCACGTGCCTGTACTGCGCGGTGTGCGACTGGGCCAGCATGTCTGGCACGGCGGGCGTGTCCGCCAGCGCGGCGACCAGCCGCGCGCGGGCCGCCATGTCGGTGACCACCACCACGTCCAGCAGCGAGCGAAACTGGGCGGAGGCGATGCGCGCCAGGGGCGCGTGCTCGATGGTGGCAGCCTCGGCCACCACGCCCACCAGGCCGGGGTCGCCTGAGGAGAGGGAGGGGGGTGGGGGCGAGGTTTATCGCGTATTTCTGCGCAGCACCCCAGTTGTGGGCGAGGGGGCAGAGTGCAGGGCAGCAGGGCTGGGCCAGGGTGTGGGTTCGAGGAGCCATCATCTCGATTCAATCCCATACACCCCAGCGACGGCATCATCGCACCTGAGGCAAGCAGGCGCCGAATGGACGCCGCCATGGGTTGCTTGGCAGGGCCGAAGCGAGCCTGTCTGGGCTGCGACCCCGACAACACTGGGGGGATAGAAGGGGGGGGTTGGACGCTGAGTTCCCCTGGCTGAATCAAGAGTGACTGCATCTACAGCTCGAGGCAGGCTGGCTGTCGTGATGTTCGACACTCCTTCCAGCAGCGCAGGCAAACTGACTCGCCAAACAGCAAGTCGGTAGCAGGTGCTACCCAGCCCCCGACCACGCCAGGTCCCACCTGCAGCTTGGTTCTCGGCATGCGCCTGTCGAGCAGCCTCCAGGGCCGCCTCCCCGGCCGCCAGGCTGTCCAGGGCCAGGCCCTGCAGCGTCTCCTGCCGCTGCGCCAGCACCGCCTCTGCCTCCTCCAGCAGGCCCTGGCGGGCTCTGGCGGCCTGCTTTTGAGGGGTAGTCGAGGGGAGTTTGTGGTGCGTGGCGGTCTTGAGCCCTTGCTAGGTTGTGCGCCGTGTTGATTGTATGAAGAGTACCCCGATAGCCTTGCTTTCTGACAACCTCAACCCCTCTGACCTCTCGTGCAGCATCCAGCTTGCGGCGGTGGGCGTCCTGCCTCTCCAGCACTGCCTCCCGCCTGGCATTCAGCTCGGCGAGCGCACTGGCCCTGCGTGTATGGAGGGAGGGGGCAGGGTGATGCTGGCGATGATGGTCTTGCCGGGGCTACCAATGTCACCGGCCGCGAGGTCGACATGTTCCAGACCTCGGTGCACATCAGCCACACACAGGAGCAGGCACCCCACAAGGACAGCCTCAAGCACCGTGCACCCACTTGGCAGCGTGGTCGGTGAAGAGGAGGGGGATGGACCAGGCCGTCACCCACTGGTCGGAGGGTGGGTCCCCATCCGACCCCGGGGGCAGCTCTAGGCCCTGGGCCTGCGCCACCAGCTCCAGGGCGAGAGCGGCGGCGCCCCCGCCGCCAGACCCTGTTCCGGGGTGGAGGAGTAGGCACGGGATGAGGCCACCCGGGGAACAAACCCTTGGATGCTCCTACTCCTCGGCTTCCCCCCATCAACACACCCAGGAGTCTCTCCCGTATCACAAGCATTTGACGCATCTGGCTCCCCACGCTCCCACACCTGACCCCTCCTCGATGCTCAGGTCACCCAGCGCCGCTCGCCCAGCCGCGTCGGTCTCGGTCTCGCAGGCTCCCAGGGCCCCCAGCGACGAGGTGAGGCTGGGCAGGGCCGCGCCCTCCGGTGGTTCCCCCGCGTCACCGCCCCTCCCGTCGGCACCCCAGCGCAGTGCAAAGCGCACAGGGACGCCGGCGGTCGGCACTGAATTCCCCGCCTCGTCCAGCAGCTGGACTGCAGCGCTGCGTAGCAGCATCCGCTGTCGGGTGGACTGTGTGGAGCGGGGAGGTGGGTTTGGGGAGGTCAGGGAAGAGCGGCGATGATGGCTGATGTGTACAAGGGCACCCAGTGGATCACTGCAATCTGCAGCGTCATCCAGCCCTGCCTCACAACCTCCGCCTCCTTGTATATGCCCTCCCATCCCTGCGCCCTGCTCACCCCTGCTTGGGCCCGTCACCGCGTTTTCCCCGGTCCCTAACCGTACCGCAAACCCTCCAGCCACCAGCCCACTCACGGTCCCGTTGGTGGCGGTGAGCAGGTCTGGCAGGCTGGCGGCCTCCACGTCCAGGCCGGCAAGGGCCCCGGGGTCAACCAGGAGGCAGCAGGAGGGGCTGCGCAGCTCGCTGGCCTCCCGCGACAGGCCTGGGAGCGGTGATTTATGTTTGGGGAGGGGGGGGATGGTGATTGTGGAAAGTGCGGCAGGCGAGGCTATGCGTGCCTGGGTCCAGGATTGTCGCGATTACATGCATGCGCCCATGCCGATGTCCCTCCCAGTGTGCTTGCTGTCATCCAGGAGACCTGTCAGCTGCATCCGTGCTGTGCTTCGTCTGAGCCGCTGGCAGGAGGAGTGCCGGAATTGCCCATTGCAGTCCCACATCTCCCCCCAAACCACACCCACACCCACAAATCCGACTCACCGTCAAGCAACTCAGGCCGCGTCTCGACGTACTCGGCCGCCAGCGTCCACTCTCCCGCGGCCACCAGGCCCTCCAGCAGGAAGGCCATGAGTCCAGGATCCGCCTGGTCCGCGCACGGCCCCACGCGCTGCGGGCGGGCGGCGCCCGGGCCACTCACGCGCAGGCACAGCCCCGCAGCGGCGGCGGCGGCGGGCAGCGGCTCGCCGTCCTCGGTGGTCACCCGCACCGCGACGGCAACTGCCGCAGCCCCCCAGGCAACGCGCGGCGGCGCGGCGCCCGTGGTCGAAACGGTCTCCCCACCGACAGCCGCGACCTCCAGGCTGGCAACCAGGTTCCTCGGGCGCATGACCAGCTCCAGCGTGGCGTCCTCCAGCGCCACGCGGCGCGAGGAGGAAACCGCGCGCAGCGTGTAGCTCCCCGGCACGTCGGCGCGCAGCGCCACCTCGGCAAAGGCGGCCGCGCCGGCCTTTGCGCGGGCCTTGTTCCCGCCCCGCGCCGAGACCGAGGCCGCGCGGCCGCCGCCGTCGGAGGCCAGCGCGCTGCCGGCTAGGGACACGTCCAGGGTGGCGCCTGAGGTCCAGACCGCGGGGTTACCGGCGCGGTCGGCCACCGAGACGCGCAGACTGGGCAAGACAGCGGCCAGGCCGCAGTGGAGGGGGCCTGGCGTAGAGAATACCAGTCGAGCTGGTGGGCCTGGAGGTGTGGTGGTGAGGGATGAGGGTTAGGGTGTGGGTCAGGCGCTGGGAGGCAGACTGCTGTTCGTTTGGGGAGGGATGAGGACAGGGGCATCGAGCTGGCAGGAGACGTGAGGATGGGCAGCTCCCCACAGGGTTTATTCCTCCACAATCTGCAATCCACCAGGGCTTCTGCATTGACCAGCCCGAGCACCGCCGTACAGCACACTGGGCGTGCTGCTTGAGCCCCTAGCCCTGTCCTACCGCCCACCACGCAGACATCGCTTGGAATGCTTGTGAACTGCAATCAACCATCCCCCAGCCTTCTTCCCAGCCCCCCACAAAACATAATTAGACCCACCTGCTGCGAGCTGGAGGGTGAGGGAATCAGGCGCCATGTCGGCGCCGGCACCCTCCTCGCCGGACCGAACGGTCAGGCGCACCGTCCCCGGTGCGCCCAGCAGCGACATCTTGACCGAGTACACCGGAGCCACTCCCTGTCGAGGATGGTGGAGAGGGGAATTAAGAGTGGGTGTGTGCCTTGGGGGACCACTGTATTTGGCATGCCTGGAGCCCGAAACTAGGGTCTGCCCACAATCCCCCTTGCCTGACGAGCTTGAAAGAGTCCCAACCCACCCCCCTCACGCTCATATTTCCACCTGGGTGGCAGTCATCCAGCCACACTCCCAGGACGCGGGGTCAAAGCCCAGGTGCCCCTCAGCCTCCGGCTCCAGCACGGGGGTGGGCAGCGGCGCGCCCTCCCCCCTCGCACACCTGGTGGTTTTGGGAACGGCGGAGGAGGATGGATTGGGGAGCCTGGGGTCGGGCGCGCCGGCGGTCGATGGGCGGGCCACCTCCAGGCCATCTCTTGACGTCCCAGCAGAAGCATCCGCCTCTTTTCACAGTGCTGGGGCCCCACAAACATGCTGGCCTCCCCCCCAACCAACCCCACTCACCGGTTGTTGTGGGCGTCCAGAGCCTCGATCTCCAGGGCGAAAGGCTGGCCACAGCGCACCGCGCCGACGCCCTCTCCACCCTCCTGGGACGCCTCGCCCGCCTCGCCCTCCACCAGGCTCAGGGCCCAGGCCTTGGGCGGCCCCGGCACCACCCCCAGGAACAACCCCACCTCCAGGAGCAGCGTGCCGTCGTCGGACGCAAAGCGCACCCACTCCGTCGAAGCCGTCGTCGCGTCCTGGGCGCCGGCGGCGTTCAGATCGCCAGCCGCGTCGAGGACACTCGCTTCGCCCAGAGCTGTGGCAGTCTCCGGCACAGGCAGAGTGGGCAGGCGCACCGCCTCCCCTTTCCAGGCCAGGCGCTTGCTGCCGCGGTGCCAGGACACGGTTACACGTCCCGCCACCGACCGCTCCACCCGCCCGCCGCCGCCGTCCAGCAGCGCCAGGCGCAGGCCGGGGAGGGAGGAGCCGGCGGGCAGGCCCGGCAGCAGCAGGAGGTCGGGGCCGGTGCCGCGCGGATCGGGCCGCCGCTGTAATGCTTCGCCATGGAGCTCCAGAGCCAGCGAGGCCGGGGCGAGGCTGTGGTGCACGACCACGGGGCAGCCCAGGGCCGGCGCCTCGGCATCGTGACCCGCCCGGCAGCGTACCAGGGCGGCCTCTAGGGTGGGGGTGGCGGCCGAGGCCTCCAGCCGCAGCTCCAGCTCCTGAGCCTGGCCGGCCGTGCCCGGCGCACAGGTCAGCGCCACGTCTGCATTGGGAGTTGGAAGTGTGATTCTCGTCGACAGACCTGTTTCTGCGGGTGTACGGACGTCACTCTGTGGTAACGCGAGCCCGATATGCACCCTGCCATTTGCGTCCCCCTCGATTCTCCCCGAAATCCCGCATCAAACCTGCGATGGTCGCCGCGCCGTCGTCATCCAGTGGGAAGACGGCTGCCGCCGCCGGCGCATCGCTGCAGCAGGGCCCCGCCAGCCTCACCGCGGCTTCCAGGCCGGGCAGCGCGGGCGACCGGTTGCCCCAGGCGTCCCAGGCCTGGACCTCAAAGCCGGGCAGGGTCGCCCCCGCGGTCACCTCCAGCCCCGCGCCCTCGCCCAGCCCCTCCCAAGGGTGGGGCGGCAGCAGGCTCAGGGTGATGGGAGGGCCGCTGCGCAGGCGCAGGGGGAGCCTGGCGGTCAGGCCCGGCGCTCCTCCACTCGCCACACAGACCTCCAGCACGCCATCCAGCGTGCGCAGCAAGGCGCCGGCGCCCTGGCCGCCCTGCACGGGCGCGTCGGGGCTGCCGGGCGCCTGGGCCTCCAGCAGGCCCGACTGCCGTGGCACGGCCACCAGGTCGACGATGCGCAGGGGGGCCTGGTCCCTGCTGCAGCTCGACTCCAGCTCCACCGGCAGCTCTGCCTCCCCGTCCCCCGCCAGGAGTCGCAGCGCCGGCTGGGGCAGGGCGTGATCGTCCCCGGGGCCAGGTGCCAGCGTGTTGCCGTGCTGGTCGGCCAGCAGGACGGTGATGGGTGGCAGCGCCTCTCCTGTGAAGTTTGGGGGGTGGTCAGGGAGAGGATCGCGTTAGGATGCGAGGGAACGGGTGCCCCCAGCTGCATTGCTGCCCTGGAGTCCGGGCGGCGCGTGGAGGTGCAGTAGCTCAGGCATCGCGAGCCTGAGAAGACCCTGCAGCTCACCAAAGGTGAGGGGACGCAGGGCCGCAGCAGCCACTCCCTCGCCCCCCAGACACAGCTGCGTGGGGGCCCCTGGGCTGACAGCCACATGGATCTGCAGGACGGGGGGTCCCTGTGTGGGGGGAGTGCGGGTGGCACTGTGAGGCAGGCGGTGTGCAGCGTGGGGAATGATGCATGGGGCGCAGGACACAGATCCCACTTGCCGCAGATGCAAACCTCGCCACGACCGATCCCAAGTCACCGCACACCTGTGGGCCCCCCGGGGCGCAGGGCGAGACGGTGTACTCCAGCACGTACTGCCCCGCCAAGGTCAGCCCGTTGGCCAGGCGCGAGAAGTAGTAGGCGTCCTTCACGGGGCTGTGGTTTTCAACCTGCAGCACCAGCTCCCGGTCCTGGGTGGCGGGCACGGCGACGACCTCGGCGACCTCCGCCTCGTTGACGACCGGCGGCCGATTCTCGTCGGCCTCTTGAAGAGGCCCGGCCCCACGCCGGCGCCGCCAGCGCATGCCGCCCGCCTCGCGCTGGGCAGGGCCGAGGGGCGGGGGCGAGGCGGGGGCCTGGGCGGGCGTGGCGGACTTCGCCAGCCTCCAGAGCGTCTGCGTGACCTTCAGCGTCTGGCGGCTGCCGCCCAGGAGCACGCGCGTGAGTCGCTGGCCGGACCCTGACACCACCAGGACCTGGGTGTCGGGCAGTGTGTCCCCCGCCACGCAGCGCAGGCCCCCTCTCGCCGCCAGTTTCAGCGGTTCCAGCCTCAGGCAGGCAGGGACCTGGGGACATGGTTTGTGGAGGCATCGGTGGGGCCGGGGGCCTGGGCCTCATGAGTCACTGCAACAGAAAGGTCGCCGCTCCCATACCTGGACCACCAGGCTACACCACCACACAGCACTTGGGAGCGAATCCGTGCCCCGTACCCCAGCATCGCAGTGGCAACCTGAGCCAGGTTTCTATTGTTGGTTCAGATCTCTGTCCCCTCACCCAAACCCCCATGAAACAAGCGCTCTCGACTGACCTTGCCCAGCTCTCGCTGCGCGTGCTCCACCTGCTCCCCCTCCGGCACCGTCTCCCAGCGCAGACGTCTCAAAGGAAATCCGCGCAGGCAGCCCGCGCCAAAGACGTCCGCCGGCAGCAGCTCCACGTGGGCCCTCCCTCCCGCGTGGCAGCCGGGCGCGGCGCCGGGGGCGGGCACGGTGAAGCAGGCCAGCCGGCCGAGGTGGGCGGGGCGGGTGTCCAGGCGCACGACGTCGCCGGCGCGGAGGCTGCGCCCACCGCCGTCGTCCACGCGGAGGAAGGCGGTGCAGGCCTCGCCCAGCTCCTCGCGCATGTGGGCCTGCAGCCTGGTGTCTGCGGGGTCCAGGAAGCGCAGCACCTTGTCCAGGCGCGCGTGGCAGGCGGCCAGCCACTCGCGCGCCCGCCGGCCCAGGGAACGGTCCCCGGGCACGGCCCGGAGCAGCAGGGCGCGCAGGTCGTCGCGCAGGAGGAGCTTGTTGCGGGTGACCTGGAAGGCGGGGCCCAGGAAGAGGGAGCCGCGTAGCCGGAGGAAGGCCTGGTCGGGCAGGACGTCCTGTTGGGTTGTGGGAGGACCGGAGTTGTGGGAAATTGGGGACTCGAAACGGAGGCGGTCTGTGCCGGGCAGTGTACGCCAGATATACACATCAGTCTTGAAGAGCGGAACACAACATATCACGCCAGGGTCCAGCCGCGGGAGCAGCTGAGTGGCGGCATGCCTTCTGGCCCACACCCACAACCCCCAAGCCACCTTGGCGGCTGCGTTGCGTTTCGTGCGCAGCGCCTCGAGAAAGGGCAGCGTGTCCACTTTCGCCCCCGGGATCAGCCGGCCCTGCCAGAAGACCTCAAAGATGGGGGGCGCCATCCAGGGGCCTGAGGGTTTGTTTCAGCAGAGGGAGGGGGGGCTGATGCAGGGAAGGCCTGCATCAAGCCATGGTGCATGCGTTTCCTTGCGTCCAGTTGGGCCCCCCAAGCACGGTATCCAAACCCCTCCCCCCCTCCAGTTCACCGTCGGTGTCATCGTCAGACGCCCCCACTTCCAGGTCAGCCTGCAACGCCAAGGAACCCGCCGCAGCCATGGGCGCCAGGGACTGTGACACGGCGAGGTGGGGGTGGACCAGGGAGAGACTCTGGGCAGGATGTGGAAGATACACCTCGAATCCGACCATGCCCTCGTCCAGCCATGTGCTGCCTTGTCACAGACCACCACAGCCCATATCCATGTTCAAACCTCACCTGGGTGGGAGCCTGCGAGGGATTGACGCCGTACTGCTGCGTCATGCCTGGCCCAGCATCCGGGCGGGGGCCAGCGGAGGGGCCCTCCAGCGGGACGGTCTCTGCCCCATCCTGGAAGGGGAAGTAGTACAGCACGCCCCAGACAATGCCCTGGAGGGTTGGGAGAGGTGACTCAATGGGGTCTCCAACTCGTCTGTGGAAGGATGAAGGTGCTGGACCCCCCCCCTGCACCCTCGCTCGTGATGATGCACCTGCTCCGTATTCAGCTCACCCACCCTATCTGGGACGTGGAGACTGAAACCCAGCTCTGCCTGCTGACCGCGCAGCATCCTACTCTCCAGATCGTCGTCAACCTAGCATGTGATTTGGTGTTGAGAGGAAAGGGACAGGTTGGTAAGTTGCTCTAGGAGTTGTGGCACCACTTGCATGGCGCATCTGTGCAAATAGCGTAGACCATGGCGTTGTAACAAACATGCACCCGCCTCCCTCGCTGAGTCCTTTTCGACCACTCGACCACACACACCTCGTGAAGACTCCGATGCCAGAGGATGCGGTCCCCTATTATACACTGGATACTGATGGTGGGACAGGCTGGGGCGGGGGAGGGTCGGCCAGAGGAACCTGGTCCCCGGTTGCCGCCCTCTCCATGTATGTAGAAGTGGTAGAGGTGTGCCAGCTCCTGCGCCGTGTTGTTGATGGAAGGTGGGATGCAGGAGAGATCAACGAGTGATGGAACCCATGGAGATGGTCAAGCTTGACCTCTGCTTCCTCACACCAGAGGCACAGCATGTGGGGGAACCCCTGAGACCCGCTCCGTGCGCCTCCACTTCTCCTCCCCACACATGTCCATGCCAGACCACTGCTCCCTTCCCCCTCTCATCTTCAAGCCCACCCTGCATATGCGCGAGTCGGCGCCCTCCTCCAGCATCTGGTGCAGGACCTCCGGCTTCAGGCCGCCCAGCAGGACGCGCGTGAAGCCGCTGGCCTCGGAGCCTGTCGCCTCCTCACCCACCCACTGCTGGGTGATGGGGAAGGCCTGTTCCCATGGCGCCTGGGTCAGGGCATCGCCAGGCCTGCGGTGGATCATCACCGTCTCGTACACGGCCTGGTGAGCAGATGGGTGAATGAGAGGGAGCTGAGGACTTGGTTCCTAGTAGGCAAAACTCTTTGCGGCTGCCAGATGCTCGAATAGGCCAGCATCGCCAAAAACACCTGCGCTGGCCCCCCGCCAAGGGATGCACATGGGCTTCATTCCCAGCGGTCCAGTTGGCATCATCAAAAGCACCTGGCCCAGTCGGTAGCGCTGCTCCAGCTCCCCCGCGCTGAGCTGGAGCTCGTGGACGTAGGGCTCGCCCACGCGCCGCGTGACCATCTTGACACTGGAGCCGATGAAGAACGCTGCGTTCTTCGAGCCCACCTGTTGGTTTTGTTTAGAGAGGCCAAGACGCTATGAGTTTTAGTCACAAGAGCGGGAATGCCACCCTTCAAGGCATAATACAAGACAACCAAACCCAATCCATTTGCATCCAACTCACTCCAAAGTAGGAGATGTTGCTGTTCAGATACTTGGTTGGGGATGCGCTGATGGAAGGCTGGCTCAGCTGGCCCCGCTCCTCCATCGAGTAGTTCATCACAGCCTGCACTTGGGGAAGAAGGCGTTGGGGCAAGGGACTGCGGCTGTGTGCATGATCCTTTGTTAAGTAGCCCCGCTTCACCTTGCGCATTGACGATGCAAAACATTGCATTATCATGTGAAGTAACCCATTCGATCGCCTGCGCACCCAGTCATTGAGATCGCGCTTGGTCATGCCGCAGCCTGTGTCCTGGATGCACACCAGACCCTTGGCGCTGCTCAGAGAGGAGCTGTTCAGCACAAAGGAGATGGTGATGTTCCTCGGCTCCGAGGCTCTGGACGTGGCCCTCAGGGAGTTGTCCACGAACTCTGCCAAGGCATACACAAAGGGGTGCTTGCCCTGTGCGTGGTGGGAGGTGGGAGAGCTGTGGACGACAGAGGACTCCACATTGGGCCAGCATTACAGCAACCCCTTGATGCACTGTGTCAGAGTTGCTGGGTCTGAGCGTCAATGAGCATGGAAAAGAAAGTAAGTACGCCTGCATCCAGAGCCACTCCACTCACCTGCGCGGCAAAGTACTCGTAATCCCCAGCCATGGTGAGGGTCTTGGGGTGGGGCTGAAAGCTCACGGTCTCCTGACCTGGTGCGGCCAGGGCCCCAGAGTGGCCCATCACGTGCAGGATCGTGTCAGCTGGCACAGCCCGCAAGTCAACGTCGGATTCCAGCGGTCGGGTGAAGTCTGTCAGATGGAACTCCTGCATTGCAAGGTTTTTGCAGGGGTGAAGCAGGAAAGATTGCTGTTGTGCAGTAAGTATCCTCGGCGTGTAGCAAGAGAGTATAAATTACTGTCTCCCCCAATCATCCTCGAACGTGCTCCTCAAAGTAGCCGGAATAACACCTGATTGCCTAGCCTGAAATGCTGAGAGACTCTTGCCACGAGTTCTGGCAAGGCTGGAGCTGGAAGAAGCACTTCAAGCGCTGGTAATGTGCCATGAACTATCTGTATGCTGCTAGATTCTATCATTTCAACCCGAGCCTCGGGCACTGGTGGCCACTTCGGACGGAAGGATCACTTGGGACGAGAGCAACACGCCATCGCCCAGCTAGCCGTTGGAAGTGGGAAGTTTTGGAGTTCTGTCGGCCTATTATTCTCACTTTTGCACTTGCTGGAGTTAGCTCTCTGTTCAGGTCCCCGGACAGCTTGGGGTGTTTGCGTGCATCCATGCTGCGGGTGCTGAGACATGCCGACACCAGCTCGGCCACCTCCGCAACATGGGACAAGTGATCTGTGCGAGCAGATGGACCGCGCCGACAAGCGGTATCCAACAGATGGACGAATTAACATAATGCAAGGTGTCTTCTTGGGTCATAGGATATCAGTCAGATCGATCAGTCCCTGCAACAGGCTGAGGTTTTCTTCACCCCTCATCTCTCGAGCCCGGGGCGCCCGGGTGACCATGTCTCAAGCAGGGCACCTCGCTTTGGTGACCGGAGGCACCGGGTTTGTGGCCGGAGAGCTGGTGAAACAGCTACTGGAAAAGGGTTACCAGGTGCGCACCACAGTCCGACCTGGCACGGATGTCTCTCGCCTGCAACCCCTCAAGCTGCTGGCCCAGGCACTCCCAGGTGCGACTTCTTGAGTTGGGATAAATTCCAGCATTGCCTCAAGGGCTCTCTGTACCTCTCATTGCTGCGGTCAAGACGGAGCCTACTGAGCTACAAGACCACTTTGAAGGGCCCTGGACTTCTACAATCTGATTGAAGCATCGCCCCGCACTGCACCCCCACCATGTTCCTCCTGCGTGGGTCTCCGCCCCTTCAACCCCTTCACACAGCCCACACATAGGAAGCCTGGAGATTGTTGAGGCAGACCTACTGGCAGAGCAGGCCTTCCACCAGGCCGTGGCTGGGGCGGAGGTGGTCTTCCACGTCGCCTCACCCTTTTTCATCGAGGCCGACGACCCGCAGGCGGCCCTGGTGGAGCCGGCACTGCGCGGCACCGCCTCCCTCTTCGCGGCTGTCGCCGCCCAGGGCAAGGGTGCGGTGCGCCGGGTGGTCCTCACCAGCTCCTGCGCTGCGGTGAAGGGCATGCACCCTGCCCCGCCCAAGGATGGGCGTCGCTACACGGAGGCCGACTGGAACACGACCTCCACCGTGGAGGGCGGCCAGGCCTACTGGGTGGGGAAGGTGAGGCAACAGAATACGTGGGTGTGTAGGGGAAAGGGAGATGGGGTCCAGCTGGCTGACTGAAGTTCTTGAGGGTTTTCATGTGGACGAGGGAGGAGCACTGCCAATCAAAACCAGGGTGCAGGGAAGATGGGGGGTGTGGATGGCTGTCAGCATCTCTAGAGCCCATCTCCCCCCTCTCTCATCCTCAAACAACAATGAATGTAAACAGACAAAAGCAGAGGAGCTGGCCTGGGAGCAGGCAAAGCAGCACGGCATCGACCTTGTCACAATCCTCCCCGAGTTCATTCTGGGGCCTGTCCTGTCGCCCCACGCACGCGGCACCTCCGTGGGGGCGCTCCAGGGCTGGCTGCACGGCGCCTCCGCCCCCGGAACCTTCACCTTTGCGGACGTCCGGGCGGTGGCCCGGGCCCACGTCCGCGCGGCCGAGGTGCCGCGCGCGGGCGGGCGCCGCTTCATCGTCGCGGCCCGCCAGGCGACCACCGGGCGCCAGATCTCCGCCATCCTCAGGGTGCGAGACGATGCGTGCAGGCGTGTCAGCTGATCTCAGCGCCAAGCGCGACCGTCCCCCAACCCTCCCTTCTCTCCAAGCCCTCCACAGGAGCACTTCCCGCACCTGCCAATCAAGGACGGGGAGGACGGCGAGCCGCCTGAGTTTGGCGTGGACGCCAGCGCGGCAGCCGAGTTGCTCAGCGTGCACAGCGTGCCGGTGGAGGAGACCCTCGTGGACATGGCCCGCACGCTCCTCGCCTTTGGGCTATGAGGGATGGTCTTCGCAGTGCTTTCTGGGGACCTCTGGCAGCCCCGGCCGTTGGGTGGGTGCACACAACCCGCGTATGCCCCGTCATCGACCCGCTCTTCCTCTATCGGCTCCATTACATTGGTGCCCAGAGATGGCCCCTTCCCTTTGTCATCAAGCAATGAATGTCTGTAAAAGTCAGATGAAAGTTCCCTCGAAGCCCTTCCTCCTGAGCCTCCCCATCGATTAGTACTGCTGGCGCAGGGGGGTCTCGATCTCGAGCGCAGCCTGGGGTGTGGGATTCGCCAGCGAGGCCAGGTCGTCCAGGAATTGCACCGGCGTCTCGATACCGGTGCTGCCCAGAAAAACGTCACGGTTCAGCTTCTTGGACAGGCGGTGCACCGCCCGCACCTCCGAGTAGGTGGTGCCGCCCACCACGAAGACGAAGATGCGGCGGTTGGGGCCGCCGCCAATCCCGCTCTGTGTTGGGGGAGCGATGGGGCGTGTTCAGCGAGATGGAGCACGAGGCTCAGAGGGTTGACCAACTGCCGCCAGAGCAGAGTATTGCATGCCCTTGAGCTCGAGATGATGTCACTCCAGCTCGCGAGTTCAGCATGCACACGCCGCACAGTCGTGTCAGGTACCACTGCCCGAACCCGCCACAAAGAAGGGATACTACCAACACCCACCTGGACGCTCATGTTGCCGCTTTCGGTGCGGTCCAGGTTGCCGGAGGGCTTGCTGCGCGCCCAGTTGCCCGTCGTGCGCAGCGTGCGCGCCGAAGCGACGCCGCCCATCATCGATTTGGGCGTGGCCTCGGCCGAGGAGGGCGCGCGGCTCGACCCGGGCGAGCTGGGGGGCTGCACCCAGGGGTACTCGTCGGTCGACAGGCGGTTGGCGGCTGGGCGGCAGGGGTGGAGGGAGTGGGGTGGTGGGGGCGAGGATGGGAGTGCCAGACTGGGCACATTCGAGGTCCCGCTGTTCCCAAGCAGCCTGCTTCCATCAGTAGAGTGAGCTACACCCCGCATTTTCTCTCACCCGCATCCTCCACCAGCTCGTGGAGGAGGGGGACGAAGCGGGACAGCGCGTACTGCTGGTCATCCTCGCTGCCCTCCCGGTCCTGCAAGGATGGAGACGGGGGAGTAGGGTGTCGATTCCATGCTATGAGACACGCCGAGACGGTCAGCCTGTCGTCAGGACCCTCCCGTGATGGCTCAGGCTAGCAGCAAAATCCTCAGCTCCCCATCCTCACAGTTCCCCCTCCCAGCCCCAGGGATCCGGCTTCAGAGCCTCTGTAGAGCACCTCAACCCACATGCCCTCCATCGCACACCTTGCGAATGGCACGGTGGCGCTTGCGCCCGAAGCCGAGGGACACCATGCCCTTGGAGCGCTTGTACACCGGCACGCCCAGGTACTCCAGATTGGTCACCACCGCCAGGTCAGCGGGGCGTAGGCCCGCCACCTTCTGCCACTGCTGCTCCCGCACTGGGTCCATCTTCTCGAGGTGCGTGGCGGAGTAGCACATGAGCAGGCGCACCTGTGTTGGCGTTACATCGGAGTGGGGTGAGGACGGGCCACGTGAGGTGCTGTGCGGGCGCATGGGTGTTGGCGACGGGGGATGCAACTAGCTGACACCGACCGGCCCTGCCCTGGTGCTCGACCGCTGTAGCATGTCGCACAGAGTCCCCCCCCACCAGGTCGGTCCTGGCGGGGAGACGATCACCTCGTGTCCTCTCAGAATCCCCACCGACCTTCTCGGCGGGGGGAATGCTGCCGCTCTGGGACAGCAAGGCGATGACCTCCTTGGAGGTGGCGTCGCCGTACACCAGATCCTGTTCCAGCTTTCCAAACTCCGTCAGGCGGCTGGCGTCCACGCTGGCAGTGAGGCGCGTGGCCAGCTCCACATGCGCCCCCAGTTTGGACAGCTGCTCCCTGGGTGGCAGGTTCGTGTGAGAGAAAGGGTTTGATGTGAGGGAAGGGAGGCAGTACAGGGGCCCAGGGTGGCCCACAGCAGGGGAGGCAAGGAGAATGGGGAGAGTTGGGACCTTCCCCAGGGAGTCCTCGCCAGAGCAACACACACCCCATAGTGACACCACACGCGTAGTACCTGTACTGCGGCAGGGCGCGCACGAGGCGGCCCATGCTCTTCAAGTCGGCGCCGCCCTCGCCCTTGAAGCTGGCGGCCTGCAGTGTGATGGGGGAGTTGTGGGGAGGGAGGGCAGGTTGCTGGTGTTATAACGTATGCGATCCAGTGCATGACCTCACCTCTTGGTATGCACGGGTCCCTGCAGCATGCATGCTCTGCTCTGGTGAGGCTTCAGCACCCATACATGCACAAGCACTGCCTCCGAGGGTCCCTCGGTCCATTTCACCCCAGACTGAACAAATCGCGCACCTTGTTCTTCTGGCGAAACTCGTCCAGGAGCTGGGAGATGCGGGTGGTGGCCTCCGCAAAGTGGGTGAACCTGAGCTCCGAGAAGAGGGCGTCGCGGTCATCCAGCACATGCTCCTTGCGTTCTGTCTTTCCTGCAAGCAGTTGAGGAAGGGCGAGCGGGTGGTGAAGGCACGATGCTGCAGAGGGGCATGGACCAGGCAAACGGGAGCTCGCTTTCCTGCACTACTCCCCGCACGAAGCAATTGTGTTTGCCGTGCAGAGGATCGAGCATGAGTGTCCATCAATGTGGATGTCTCGTGGAGGCGTACCCACCCTGATCCTCCACCTCACTTCGTCCTGCGAGGTCTCAACCCAAAAGCCCAACAACTCCTGATATCCGCAGCATGAGGTATCACCTCACCCCCTCCCACCCCCCCCACCTCCTTGCGTCTCCGCCTCATAGGAGAAGACGTTGTTGGAGCCCAGGTCCGGTCCCAGCAGGTCGTGGGCCATGGCCTCGTAGGTCCACTCGTGGATGATGGGCGCCACGGGGTCAGCGCCGCGATCGGCGATTACCAGCTCACAGGTGTCGGCCTCAGGGACCAGTCCCGCGTGCTGCAGGATGAGTAGGCGCTCATGGAGCTCCAGCGCGACGCGCTGAGCGACCAGCAGCCGGATCTCCAGCCCCGGCGGGAAGTCGTCGCCGGGGGGGATGGCGGCGCGGAAGCGGATGGCTGGCATCTCCTTCAGGCTGGCGAACAGCGAGGCCAGGCGCGTGGCGGCCACCGAGATCTCGTAGGCGTAGGCGGGGGCCAGCTCCGCGCCGGCACCGAAGAAGGTGCGCAACGCGCCGTCCTGAGCGGTGCTGAAGGTGCGGCGGTTGAGCACCAGGTACTCCAGGTTCACCTCCTTGATGGTGCGCAGGCGGGCTAGCAGGCCTGGGCAGCCACGCAGTCGCTGGAGCAGCTCGGGAGGGAGGGGGGAGGAGAAAAAGAGGTAGGCGTCGCGGTACAGCGGCTTGCGCGAGGTGCCAAAGTCCTCGATGATCCGCGCCACAGCCTCTGGCGTGGGGGCCACGAAGTAGACGCCGCTGAGCGTGGTCAGCGGCTCGCGCTGCTTCAGCACGTCGTCCACCACTGCAGGCGGTGAGGGAGGGCGTTGGGGAGGTGGAGGGGGTTCGACGCTCGTGGGGATTGACATCTCCGAGTGCAGCCGGAGGACGAGCGTGCAACAGGCACCCTGACCCTGCAGGCGCAACCAGGGGCAAGGGGCGTGCCATGCCGAACCGAGCTGAGCCATGCACACGGGCACCAACCCCAAGAGAGCTGCACTCACGGGACACGCCGTAGTCCAGGAGGTCAGCGATGCCCGCGGCGGAGGAGAACACTCGGGTGGTGACCGGGTCGAGGAGCAGCACCGCCCACCGCTTCACGCCATCATTCCCGGTGGACCCCAGCATCTCGTCCTGGGGTAGATTTCGAAGGCAGTGGAGGGAGGATTACAGCGTGCCCCGACACGCAGCCCTCTGTTCAAGTTGCGGAGGGCAGTACACCGACGGAGCGCCAGGAATCCTACCAGGAGGCGAGAGCGGGTCACTCCCGTGAGCACCGTTTCGGACGACATTTCTAAAGGTGTGTGAGGTGATCGCGGTACGCCAAGCAGGGGCTTAGGGGTGGACTCTTATTTCAGCTGTGTCCCATCGCCGAGAGTCTCAACGTGGTCAACGAGGCCCGGAGAGGGCGATAGCTCTGAGAGATGTTGAATTTCCAAGTCGAGGTGGATGTGTGTCGAGCTCCCTTGCCCCAATGCATCCCAATGCCCGACCATCGCACGGCGATGCAATCCAACGGAGGGGGCATACGTTCCGTGCAGGGCGCGCATGCGACAGTTCTGGGTCACAGGCCTTGAGATACAGTTACAGTGCCTGCAATGCGAGGCACAAAAGCAATTGGCAAAGAGAAGAGGTTGCTGGTCTCACAGGCAACTGATCATGATCGCTGTTGCCAGTAATGGCTGCATATCCTCCCCCACGCATGGACTGTCAGTGACCCGACCAGTCGCGTCTGCTCGGCTCGCACCGATCGCCCGGCGCAGCATTCACCGCGCCTTTGCAAGGTTTGCCCCTCACGAGAGCCTAGTGAACGGGATGCATCAAGGCATGGCCGGTGCGAAGCTACGCCCTCAGAAATCCCGATCATGGTCGGCATGCATGGCTACCGGGCAGCAAAAGGAGGGGGTGGCGTCCCCCAACCCACCCCCCCAGACCAACATACTGGCCACAGCCGGGCTCTTCACGATATGGGCATCCCTCCTGGCCTATGCCTTTTTTGTTGCCCCCAATCAGACACCCCTGAGGTAGGCGAGTGTAGACGCTGGGGCCCGCGCTGCGCTCCACCATCCTTGCCGGTCAGCCCGGTCCACCCCGCTCCTCCCCCTCCCCCCCCATCAATCCAAGGGATGCCGTGTTCATCCAGAAGCTGGTGGGCCTGGGCGACCCCACCACCACCCCAGTGAATGCTGTCTTCACACAGCTCTTCCTCGCCATGGGGGTCTGGCCCCTCATCTACACCGCGCTGCTCATCCCCAGCGCCCGCAGTGGCAACGGGGTCCCCGCCTGGCCTTTCTGCACCCTCTCGTTTGCCGCGGGCGTGTTTGCGCTGCTGCCCTACATGGCGCTCTGGACGCCCGAGCGGGAGGGTTCGAGTCGAGAGCCGCGCCGGGGCCCCCGCATCCTGGAGTCGCGCATGCTGCCCATTGCGACGCTGGCCGGCGCGGTGTACTGCATCGCGGCCGCCGCGCTGGCGGGGTCGGACGCCTGGGTGGCCTTCTTCCAGCTGTTCTGGGAGTCGCGCTTCGTCCACGTCACCACCGTGGACTTCAGCATGCTCTGCCTCCTGGCGCCCTTCTGGGTGGGCCTGGACGCCTCGCAGCGCGGATTCCAGGGGCGGGCCGCCGGGCTGGCCGCGCTGCCGCTGCTCGGCCCAGCCATCTACCTGTGCCTGCGCCCTAGGGCGCCGCCGACCGCTGACGAAGCCGAGCGGCAATGACTGAGAGTTGTAATGACCGCCTCGTGTCTGGACTGCATGTGTGGGCGTGCAGCTTGCTTCCTGCTCTGGATACTCGTGTTGTGTAGGCTGCCACATCATCGACAAGTACTGCACCATGCAACATGCTGTTTATGGTTGAGGATGCAGGGCAGGGAGTCGCAAGCATGTCAGACTGCAGGGTGCTGAGGGACTCTTACCATCCTAATTCCTAGTCCTCTGCCATCGGCCCTGCGCCCTCCTCGGCTCTCTGTTCTCCAGCCTCATCAGGTTCCTCCGCCCCAGCCTTGTTGTCCGCCTTTTCTTCCGCGGGATCAGCAGCGTCTTCGTCCTCAACGACCCCATCATCATCGGGGTCTTCCCCCGTTGCGCCCTCCGCCGCTGCGCCCTCCTCCACTCCGACATCGTCGCCCGGCGGTGCGCTCGCAGGATACTGCCCGCCGCCGCCGTACCCGGCCGCCATGGCCGCAGCCTCCCAGTGCGCCACCATCTGCGCCACCAGCACGGCCATGGCCTGCACGTCCGGCACGACCACAGGGGATGGGGGGGCCTCCCCCACGGGGCGCGCGCAGGCGCCGTGGCGCTCGTGGGGCGCCAGGGCGAGGGCCGTGGGCCGCGCCGTGAGCTGGCGGAAGGTGGGCGCCAGCTCGTAGCACTCGGAGAAGAGCGCGGCGCGGCCGAAGACGTAGAGGCCGAGGCGGGAGCGGGACATGGCCACCACCAGGCGCCGAACATCGCGCAGGTGGCCAAAGTGGGCGGTGCGCACCAGCGACAGCAGCACGTAGTCCGCCTGCTGCCCCTGGAACTTGTCCACCGTCGCGATCTGAGGGTTGAGGGTTGGGGGGTGGATGGGGAGGGGGGGTGTGAGTGAGTAATGTGGCGTGTGCAACGCAGCACGCCCATCCCATGGGACTCTCCCTTTGCCGCCCAAGTCGACCCCACTCCAGTCCCTGCCCGCCTCGACCCCACCATACCCACCTTGGAGGGCATGCCAAAGGCGGGGTGTGCGGCGCAGCGCCTCTGGAATACGTCCCGCAGCAGCGCGGTCTGGCCGTTGTAGGTGGTCAGCACCGCGACGCTGGAGGCCGGGTAGCCCAGCAGACGCATGTACTGGTACACCGACACCAGGTACTCGGCCTCGCCCAGGTTCTGTAAGGAGGTTGGTGCAGGATTGGGTCTTGTTGTTTTTTGGGGGGTGGTAGGGTCCTGAGCATGGATGGGAGCTGTTGCAGGGCTTTGTTCATGACACACGTGTGGCCCCAGAGGCAGCAGCAGCACCCCCCTCCCCCTCCTCCTCCCCTCCCGCCTCATCACCTGGTAGAAGTAGGGCATGGGGGAGGTCTCGCCCCGTCCGTTGTAGTCCTGCACGTCGACCAGCTGGTAGTCGTGCGCAAATCCCGCGTTGGCCGCGGCAAAGGCCGGCAGCGCCGCGACGTGCGGCAGGTCCCCCAAGTCTCTGTACCGCCAGTTGTACAGCCTGGCCAGGCTGGGTCGCGCGCGCCCCTGCGCGTTCAGCTCGATGTAGGGCGTGCCCAGGCGGATGAAGCGGGTGAACAGCGGCTGGTCCAGGTTGCTGTACTTCTGCGGTGGGTATCGAACGAGGAGGGGGTGGGTGGGTAATCATGGGAAGAGCAGGTCAATATGGCGCACCGGCATCCTCCAACAGGGATTGGAAAGGCCGACAGGGCGGGAGGTAGAGGTTCTGCAGTGCGGCCAGAGGTGCCCTGAGCCAACAGTCCCAACTGACCGCCCCCTTCCTGGCTGGTCCGCGCCTGCCTTTCCACCCACTCCCATCGCACCTGCATGGCCATGTTCTTCACCACGGGCGGGAGCTGGTGGTGGTCCCCGATCATGATGACCCGTTTCAGCCGGCTCACACCGTCCTCCTGCTTCTGTACGAGTAAAATGTGACCAGAGGAGGTTGGGAAGTGGGTGGTGTGGGGATTGTGAGCTGGTAGCCACCTGGCTGCCCCGCCGGCAGCCTACACCAAAGTTGCTTCATGCAAAGGCCAAACAGCGCCGCTGCCGCGCGTAGTCACACCACCCTCCCTAAATATCAATCCTCAATTGATGACAACGATGACTAATCGTGATGTCATCACTGTACAGGCACTTGCCATCCTACAATCCCCCCACCTGGAGCAGCATGGGGATGAAGGTCTCGATCTCCAGGATCTGCGCACTCTCCTCCATCAGCAGGTTGTCATACTTGAAGCCAAGCTCCAGGAACTCCCTGCGGGGGGAGGGTGGGTGTGGCAGGTATGGTGCAGATACTCGCAGGGTTTCCGACATGGGGCGCGTCGCTGCACAGCACGAAAGTTCTGCATCTTACCTCAAAACCTTGAATCCCCATGGGCAGCATCATGCCCACCCTGCGAGCCTCCATGATCCCCTATCCCTGCAAGCGCCACGTATCAAACATCCCCCTGGCGCACCTGCGCTTCAGGGCCGCGTGGGTGCAGGTCATGGCCACAATCTTGGCCTGCTTGGTCAGCAGGTAGTTGATGCGGTCCGCCTGCGGCATGGCAGAGGGGGTGGGCGTGAGGCAGACGCGTGGAGGGCAACGTACTTTGGCGCCATGCAGCGAGACCAGCAGGACAGAGCCAGGTCGACCCTGCTACTCGGCCATCCCCACACATCCAGCAGCTATCCACCTGGGTGCGCAGGAGCTCAAAGGGCCGCGTTTCCTCCAGCTCCTGGAACATGCGCTGCAGGTGCCGGAAGCATCCCTGTGTGGGTGGGAATGAGATGAGGGGAAGGGTTGAAGAAGGGAGGGGCCGGATTGAAACATGTGATCCCACCAGGCCATGCAGAACTTGGCCAGACAGGCACAGCTCGCCGTGCACTATCTGAACAGCTGCAGCCCAGACGCTACAAGAACATTACGGGGATCCCTCCTTATGCCCATCTGCACTTCACACACATATAGATAATTGGTTTCCCCCTTTCCACACCCTCTCCATCAAGCTCGCCTTGGCCTTCTCGAGGTCCTCGTCAAAGTCGGCGCCGCGGAACAGGGGCTGTGGCGCGTCAGCAAAGTACTCGGCGAAGGGGAAGAGCGCAGCCACGGCACCTGCCTCGCCGCCCTTTCTCGCCGCCGCCAGAAACCGCTCCCAGCGCGACAGCACGTGCAGGAGCCAGAAGTGGGCCGCGGTCTCGCAGGTGTAGGCCACCGACTCGGAGACGCGCAGCAGGCGCGCCAGGCGCTCGACCTCGGCCAGCAGCTGCAGGCGGCGCGCCAGCATGGCATTCACGCGCCCGACGCGCGAGAACACCTCCTCCGTCTCCAAGTCGGCCTCGCCCATGCCCAGGCGCAGGAGATAGCGCGCGGGGACGTCGCGCTCCACGATTTTGGTGAACAGGTCGTTCAGTGCCTGGTTGCTGTGCGTGATGATCAGCGTGCGCTGGCCGGGGCAGTTGTGGTACAGGATGTGCATGATCTGCACCGCCGTGTCGGTCTTTCCAGTGCCTGTTGAAGGGGAGGGGGGGGGGAAAGAGGGGAGATGAGTAGTATGGGGGAAGTGGTGGAGGAGATTGGAAAGGGGAGGTGAGACAGTCCAGGCTGCGTGGACAAACAAAGTGAGCGGCGGAGGCAGCTGAAGGTCCCGCGGTGTCTGACATTTCCAACAATCAGCAGGCCCATGGTTCAGGATCAGATCTATCACATCGTCCCGAGCACCAGCCCTTCACTCGCAGGCCGTTCCACCGCGGTCCCTCCTCCCCTCCCTTTTTACCTGGCGGCCCCACGACCATGGTGAGCCCCGGTTGCACGCCGGAAAGGACGGCAGATGTCTGCACCGGGGTGAACCGCACGCCGTTTTGCGGCGGCTCGTCCTCAGGGTACGGCCCGGGGTCAACCGCGGTGTAGGCCTCAGCGTGCAACGTGGGGCGCCTGGCCTTGGCCCCTGCGTCATCCTCCCGGAAGGAAGGAAAGGTGACGCGGAAGGGGCGGACCAGCTGGCCATCAGCCCGCGAGCTCGTCAGACTGACGTCGCACTCCGGGAAGGCCTCCCGCAGGTGGTCTGGCAGTATGTTGTTGGGAAGGGGGAGTCAGGTTGGTGACGCGCCAGTGTGCTTGATCACTGCCAAGCAGTCGTGCCTTGCATTGTTTTCTCATCTACCTCTAATGCAAACACCGTCCTCATACGACCTCATCCTCACACCAACACGACCAGTCCACACACCGGCATCAAGGAAGGTATCCTTGAAGTCGATGGTCTGCAGCGTGTCCTCCATGTTCTTGTACAGCGCCGCATCTGCAGGGGTGTGAGGAGGTATGAGCAGGTGAAGAAGGGTGTGGCATCTCATGGACAAGGGGACGGCTTGCCACCCATGACAGGGGACAAACTAGACTGGATTGGCCGTGTTGCTGGAGAACAACAAGCACACAACCCCAGCAGGTCAGACTGGTCAGAATACAGTCCTCCTGCCCTAGTCCCCTTGACAGGAGCTCCCCTGTCCTACCCCTCCAACATTCTCCCTTTCCCCACCTGGATCGCCGTAGCCCAGCAGGATGTCGTGGAGCCAGGCCGGCACCGCGCAGTCGGCGTTCATGAGGTCGCGGATGCTCTCCAGCACCGCCTTGAAGTTGTTCTCCTTGGGCTTGCGCCGGAGCAGGAGGTTGAAGGTGCCGTACACATCCTCCGCACCCGATGCCTCTACAGCATCCATGTCCATCTGCATGGAAGGAAGGAGCAACAGAGGGGGTGGCTGACACCAGGTCGCCGCACGCACACCTAGATGAAGCAAGGGGCGCCGACGGGAGCCAGCAGCACGAGTACAGAACCACCCACACCCCCTGCCAAGCGAGCAAGCGATATCCAGGCGATGTTCCATCCTCCAGTAACCCCACCACTCAACCGACCTGGTACTGCGCAGCATCCATAGCCACCGTCATGGTTCGGATGGAGCCCTTGGGACGTGTGACCTGGTCGGGGCGCACCCTCCCCGTGAAGTCATTCAGAAGCTGGCCATCTGCGTGAGGGAGGGGCGTGTGGGACAGCTGTGCGTTCAATGCCCAACAACACCTACACTCCTGCTTTGGGGACATGTTGAGATGTTCCCCCTCGGCAGATCACAGGCCAGGCCACGCCCGAGGTAGACCAGGCAGTCGATGGCACAAGACATGCAGACCCGCCGCTCAGGCAATGCACAGGCCGATTTCCAGTCCTCCCAGTCGACTCACCCTCGTCCCGCATTTCGATGACCTCACACCCTCGGACATAGTCCAGGCCGTACTTTCTCATCAGGCTGGCGCCTGTGGCAAGGGGAGTGGAAGCGGACGGCTTGGCAGTGGCAGGCGCAGACTCGCAGTGCCATGCCCCAAGGTCAGCAGCCAATGGCATTCCTTTGATGATGGATGAATGCTGCATGCCCCAGCCCTAACCCCCAAGCTCACCTGTACCGCCATCACCCGCCCCAGACTCTGCTGCGGCAGACTGCGCATATGCATCAGGCGGCCTCAGGGTCAGCAGGAACATCACGTCGTGCTGCTTCACCTCCTCCCACTCGCGCCGCACATCCTCGCGCAGGGCTGCGAGGATAAGGAAGAATGAGAATTCGAGATCCAAACCAGATACCTCTCCATTGTCGCAATGCTGTCCCAACTCAGGCAGGTCGGGCACACTGCAGACCAGTCCGCCCAACCCATCATCCTCATCACTCTCCCATAAACAAACCATATGCAACCCCTGTCCACCCAGCGCGCCACTCACAGCTCAGATCCACGACCACCTCCGCGCTGACGGCGGCTGGCCTCATCTCCCCGACCTTGGGCGGCTGCACCTCCGTGATGGTGAAGCCCTCCAGGTTCTTGGCCATGCGCGCCCAGCCATTGAACCCCACCTGGGCGGTGGAAGGTGAATGGGTGCAGCGAATGCTAGTCACTCACCAAGGCAGTGACGATTGGACATACAGACAGGACTTGCACCCACGCCACCACGCCGATCCCCCTGCGACCTCTCCAGTGTAGACCCTCCTACCTCATCGTTCTCCCGCAGATAGGGCTGCACACGCTGGAGCACATCTGCGATATCTTCCCTGATCTCATACGTGGCCTCCAGCCTGCAGATTTGGGGACGAGTGGCGGGTGAGTCCTTGGATCCTTCATGTGTATGTCCGGGGCACACCCAGACAGGCACGACAATGACTGTGCTGGCATGCACACGAATGGCAAACCATCACCTCAGCCTCCCTGGGGACCCGCACCTGAACAGGTTGAAGTTGCGCATGAGGTAGTCCTGGATGGTCAGGAACTGGAGGTTGAGCTTGGGTAGGGCCAGCACAGTCTCCCCTGCAGATGGCAGAGGAGGGGTGGGTGCAGTGGGGGTTGGATGAAGGCGCCAATGGCAGGATGCAGCGTCTTGGTAGCATTTCGCAGAAAACGAGGCGCACCCAAAGACAGTGTAGTCCTGAAAACTTCTCACCTTGCACACTTCAACCACAGTCACATGATCCTTGACTCCACCAAAATCTTAGCTCACCGGTGTAGTGCAGGGTGGGGACCTGGTGCTCGTCAAAGAGCACTCTCTCCGTGGGGTACAGGGGCATGGCATTCACGGTCTCAGCCTGCAGCCGGCGGCGTTCGTAGGCCGTCACCGCCACCTCCACCAGGAACTCTGGGTCCTCTGCCCAGGGGTCGTCCTCGCCGACCAGCCTGGATGAGAGTGGAGTGGCCGGCAGTGTGATGGTGGGATGCTAGGTTGGCTCAAAGCATGGGCAGGCGAGTGAGGGCTGTGTGCAGGAAGGCCGCACCAGGGTACGGCGTTCTTAACGCTCTGGGCGGCCGACGACACTACAGTGCAGCGGAGATGCCCCACCATTTGCAGGCTCTCCTATTGTACAGAAGGCAGGGTAACAAGGACACGCACTCTGAGCTTCACCCCCCAAAGGAATCCGCCACCCACCCTTCCCCACCTGAGCTGGCGGCAGACCAGGCGGCGCAGAGTGGCCGGCTCCAGGCCGTGCAGGGCCTTGGAAAGCACGTCGCGGCGCTGCACCTGGGCGCAGGACGCCAGGGCCAGGTCACGCAGCTCAGGCACGTGACGGAAGAATAGCCTCTGCAGCGCCTGGATCTGCGCGGCGCAAGGGGATCCAAGGGATGAGCAGTCGAGGAGGGTGTAGGTGTGACTCACACTCAGCAGGTTGGATGGTCAGGGGTCCAGTCGGGAAGTATCCACAGCCAGGGCTTCCCACACCAAAGGCCGCCGCCTCGTGATAAAGCTCAAAGATACATCTCAGTCTCATCCACACAAATAAACAATTTGCCCAAGCCATGCGTACCCTCTCGTAGTGCGCTGCGACGACCTCCTCCTCGCCCAGGGCCTCCCCCGTGTGGTCCGCAATGGGGAACCCGGAGTAGAAGCGGAAGAGGTCCACCAATTGGGCGAAGAGCACGCCCTGTTGCCCCCGCCCCGAGCACAGCGGGCTCAGCGTGCACTTGACCAGCACCGCCCGGTCATCCAGCAGGGCGTGCACGAAACGGCGGGTGGGCAGCTGCAGGACCGGGGACAGATGAAAGAGGGAACAGGGTGAGGCATGCCAGGGCGACGAGGAGTGCCTCGCTCTGCAGCCAGCACGGGCGGGCTAGCGCTGCTCGCTGTAGAGAGGCAGTGCTTCACCTCGTGTCCAGCCGCCTGCCCCGGCATGCACAGGCCTTGCATCCAGGCAAGGTGTACTGCACAAACCCGCTCCTCACAGCGTCCACCAAGCCGACTCCCCCCATTGCACATGAATGCCCCACGTATCAACCCCCTATCAACACCCCCCAACCCTCCCTTCCCCCCCCCCACGGATCGTGCCTGGGACAGGAGGTCGGTCAGGAACTCGACAAAGCGCTCGAGGTAGAGCGTGGTGCGGCGGTCCGTGCCCTCCTCCTGCACGCCGCCCAGCACGCTCAGGAACTCATCCACGAGAGCCGGCAGGAAGCTGGCCTCGGGGCGGCGCTGCACGGGCATGTGCGCGTCGCCCGCGGCGGCCGCCGCCCTGGCCTCGCGTCGCGCCGCGTGGCGCCAGTGCTTGAGCAGGGCCGGGTGATCGTGCAGCTCCAGCTGCAGGCGGCCGGGGGAGAGGGCGTGCCAGAGGGGCAGGGAAACGAGGCGCAGGACCTCCTTGCGCACCGCCTCCTCCTCCAGCGACTGCGTGGAGTTTGGGGAGTTTGCAGAGTCGCAAGGTGGCGGTGACCGTAGTGGAGGGCTCCGTGGAGATGGAAGACGAGGACGGGGCGGTAATGGGCATCGTCGCGGCCATGCCCCAAACAACTAGTTCCCCACCCCCGGCCCCCCTCAACCAAACCCACCTGAAAGGCGTTGATGGCGAAGAGGAGGTAGGTGATGCGCTCATGCATGTGCAGCTCGCCGTCCGTGGCCTTCAGCGCGAGGAAGGCGCGGAAGAACGCCGGGAAGACCTCCTGTGGTGCAGGGCGGTGGAAGAATCGGGTGATGGGCATGGCATGCCTGGGAGATGCTTCATGGATCCCAAACTACTCAGACTGGCGAGCCCATTCACCAGACAGCAAGGACACTCCAGCATATCTGAAAGCAAGCTGGAGTGGTGTAAGACTCAAGCACACCTCAGAGCTGAATCTGCGGAGCCCGTGCCGCCCTGCACGGCATCTCCCCCCTCCAGAACCACTCTCCCCCAAACACACCCTCCGCACCGGCCGTGACTGGCGGAAGCACGTCCACGCCGGCACACCCTCCCTAAACTTCTCGTTGACCATGGCCAGGATGGACAGCACGTGGGCTGACGTGGCGCCCTCCTCGGGGAAGTTGGGCCAGAGGTAGTTCTCCAGGTACTGCGACAACTCCAGCATGGTCACCCTGTGAGTTGGTGGGACAGAAAGGGCGGCTCAAGCACACGCCACGCCTCTCCTCCTGACCAGAGGCAGAGGCAATGGCCCCCTCCATGCAGGAGGCCGTCGCCCTCAGTCAGCGATGCACTGCAGCACACCTGCGCAGGGAGGGTGGGCTGTCGCTGCCGCCCCCCAGCTCATCCCGGTATATCTGCTGGACGAGCTCCTCGGAGAAGGCAGGGGCCTCCCCACCCGCCAGCACCGCGCTGCTCCAGTGTTTGTTGGCCAGCTGAGTCAGCTTGTCCTTGCTGATCTGCGGGTGAGGTGTGCGGCATGGGTGGGGCTTGGTGCACTGCGCTGGGAGGGCATCGTTTGGCACCCCACCCCAGGAACTGGCCATGCAGCATGCAAAAACTCAGCCTCAGGACGGCCACGACGGGCTCCCCACGTTCAAATTCATGTGCAAACAATGGAATACATCCAAATCTATACCTCGGCGATGGTGAGGGCCCCAGACTGTGCTGCCTTGGACTTGGGCGCTGGGCCCGCCCGTTTTGGCTTTGTATTGCTTGTTTTCGCCATCGCGACGGTCGTTGCAAGACTCTAAGCACGTTACTGAGGGTATAATATAAGTATTCACCAAGTGTAATACGCTGCGTGCCAGCTAAGCCCCGTCCGCGGACACCTTGTCGGAACTGCAGCACTTGATGCCGCAGCAGCCAGGCATGGACAGGGCCACGAGAGCTTCAGCAGACAGTTCGCGGTTTCAGATACATCTTGATGGATGTAACGATATGGGAAGAGGGAAGTGGGGAACCTGTTTAATCTGTTCACGATCGTGCACTGACACCCCACCTCAGCTCGCATGCTGCGCGCCCCGATCTCTCCACCGACAACTGCAGGAGCAGCGGGCTTGAGGCTGCCTTGCCATTACTGGTAAGAGATGTAAATCGGTAAAACAGAGATCAGCAACAAGTTCAACAGTCAGTCGATGCGCAATGTCTGGTGTAACATAAGCTTTGGGTCATAGATGACCTTCATATGTCTTGGCTAACAGTGGGAGATGCGCCAGATACCTGGCCAGCTCATGGAGCTGATAATCGGTCCTTGCCTTCTGGCAATATTCGCAGCCTTTTCATCGAGGAGGACATAGAAATTCGATTTGAAAGACACCCTGTTGTTAAAGGTGCCTGTTGAACATGAATGCTCATGCGCGTCACTACTGTGCCCTGCACTTCACAGTTGCTCGTGCATGCTATCAAAAGGGTGGATCCTCATCACATAACCGTCGGCAGACAAGGGTTGGAGGGATACTTTGGAGCATCAGATTTATCGAGATAGTGCCACCTGGTTGCTCCACAATGTGCACTGCCATAAACAGGCGGAACTCGTAAAAACTATGTCAACAATGTTTCTGCCCCCCTCCTCCAAACTCACGATTGGGGCGGGGGGGACTTGAAGATGCTCACAGCTGGAATCGTGGCTGGTTCTTACCTCGAACACGCGAGAACAGCAGCCGCAACATCCTTGCAACTATAATGAAAATTTTTACGCATCTGAAGTTCTATCGATGCCTAAGACAAGACCTACAGTAGCTCCATGCATTTGGCGTTCGCCTCTCCCTATGTCTTTGCACTTCCCTCCAGCTTCCCCAGAATCCTCGATGGATTTTTTACGTCATTTTGGTCTCCGCGGCCCACCAGTGTACCCGACGTATTGTACATAAGAGCGGGTCAATCGCAAGATCTATTCGCCATTAAAAAGTTTTAAAGAGTTTTTAATCTAGGTACCATGGCGTCGCTTGGCTATGAGAAGATCGAAGGACAAGATCATGGCCATTGGCTGCTCATCATAGCCCGTCCTCGCGAGGAGAGCTACTTCTTCGCCCCCACCCTCAAGGCGCTACAAAAGCAAGGCGACACCGTCAGCGTGCTATGCCTCAGCGCATGTAGGTGCAATGAGTCTCCTGAAACTTGCTCCGACGTCTTATTTGTTTCGGACAGGAGTGATCATGTAGGGCCGGACGCTCGGGGCTGCCCATGCCTCACACAAGCCCTCCACCAAATGCACTGCGCAGTGAGTGACGAGTCACTGAAAAAATCTCGTCAACAAGAGCTGAGAGATGCTTGCGGAGTGCTGGGGGTAGGTCTCGCGATCGTTATGCAGCTCTGGGCGTGTTTAGGGTTGTTTGGTCCGGAGGCCGTACCCCCGGTCTGTCAGTGAGTTGTAGTCAATCTGCTTTTCTCTGCCTTGTACAGATTGATGCCGACCGGGTTCGGTGCATCGATGACCCTTCGCTGCGAGAGGATGCGGAGTGGGCGACTGAGGTTGTCGCCGGCCATATACATGAGGCTGTGAACTATTTTAGCCCAACTGGGGTGAGTTTGGCCAGGCTTCCTTCAGCCCAATTGGTGCCAGGCTGGATCTCTCCTTTTTACCAGGCGCTTCCACACCAACACTGATGGGTCGATCAAGGCTGCAATGAAGATCATTCATGCATAGAACTCAAGGTGCAGCCCCTCTTTCCACCTTGTAGGCGCTCACTTTTGATAAGAACAGCGGCAAGTACACTCACATGCACGCCGCGTGCTACAACGGTCTGGTGCACTATATGAACTTCAAGAAGGAAAAGGAGAGGGTGCTGAGGGTCAAGATCCTGGTGAGTATGGACTATCCTGGAGGTGTCATGGACCTGTGGTCTGAAGGCATCAACAGTTCCTGTGAGTCTCTGTGCACTCCTCCGTAAGGATTCTTTCCAAAAATCCTCCAGGAAACCATTCCCAAGTGGGCACTCTATGACGTATACTACATCTGGACCATGATGGCCACGGCATGGTGCAAAAAGTCAGTCCAACACTATCACACTTGTTGGGCGAGGCAGGCGCGGCGGGCGGCCTCCAAGCACGTCTCACAGAAGAAGTGGTATTCGTGCTTGGCGAGTGGGAGTCGGGTGTACATGTTTGCAAACAATGTCCGTGACGATACGGCTCAGTTTGCCACCGGATCGACGGGATAGAGGAGACGGAGGTTGTTGGCTGACTGATAAGATGCATCTTGTGTACCAAAATTCTGACCGAGTGCATGCATATAATGTACCCTACAGTACTTCACCTTTGTAACATGCTAGTAGTTGGACCCTCAACGACCTGTATCTCGATCTGTTTAAGCAATCAGTCAGAGCCGCCAGCCATCTCTTCTTATACATAGTTGTAGAATGTGAGACCGACAGCTGAAGAGACTTCTTGATGCGCGGAAGTCACGATACTCGACATACCTCTTAGCGCAGCTGTAGACGGGGCAACGCATCTCTACAGGCGCCTTGATACAATTGAAACCTATTCGCACCATCCGTGGCATGCAGCAGAGATGGCTTCTCGTCACGGCTCACCCCGATGACGAGTGCATGTTCTTTGGGCCCACGATCGTTGGCCTGAGGCAGACGGGTGCCTCTGTCAGCGTGCTGTGCCTCTCTACAGGTACGTCATTTATGGAAGGCCCCACATCACTGCGTTGAATGTTTGGAAACCGATTTTGCTTGAACCATCGACTCTCTCCTGCACAGGCAATGCCGCTGGCTTAGGGCCACTTAGGCAACGGGAACTCTTTCGCTCCTGTGCTGTGCTCGGGGTTAGTGTTGGGCTATCGGACCGAACTACTCCCAGGCGTACTACTGAGTAGACAACCAGACCATGATGCTGTTCGTCATCCTACATCATTTCCATTCCCCAACATCAGGTGCCCAGCAGCCAGGTCACATGCATTGATGACCCAGGGCTCCAGGATGGATCGAGTTGGCAGATTTCAAAGGCAGCCGTTCATGTACAGAAGAGCCTGGAGGTGGTCGACCCGACACATGTGAGCTGTATATTACTCCCCTATGGTGCTGAGAGGATTCATACGAGCTTGTAAATGCTGCTGCAGTTGAGAGCACTGTGGGCACCCGAGCTGTCAGATCAAATGACAACCCCTGACCGTTTCACAACAATCTTGTCAATAGGTGTTAACATTTGACGCTGCTGGAGCATCGGGCCATCACAATCATATAGCTACACACTGTGCGGTGCAGACTGTCCTCAGCAGCAGGAAGGCCCTGCAGCTCTACCTCCTGGTAATGGGAGGCTGGGGTGTCTGTCTTGTAAGGGGTTGGCATGCAGCACAAGGTTGAAGTACGACCCTCATGGGCAGCTGATTCTGCCTTACCACTGGTCCACTTCCACAAGCACCGTACAGCCATTGCCGAAGTCACCACACCTCATGGCAGGAGACCCTCCCCCTGTGGCAGAAGTACTCGCCCCTGCCATCCCTCACCGGCTGGGTGTCACAGCTGCTCCACGGCCGAGCTGCAGGTGGCTCTGCACCCAAGATCACCTTTGGCGCCCTGAGCCCTGTGGTGCCCTGGAGGGCCATGACCTGCCACTCGAGCCAGCTGGTATGGTACCGCTACCTGTGGCTGGCATTCTCCGTGTACATGGTGTACAACCGCCTGAGAGTGGTTTGACACAAGGGTGAAGCTGAGGAGGATGCATCTGCAGGGCACGAGCCTAGGGTGTTACCTAGGCTCAAGGACACCAGGCTATTCTTGAAACCAAACATGTACGGTAAATGCTTCATGTAACACTCCAAAGTTTCGTCCCAGTGTTCAGGCTGCTTCCTTGCAGTATCCCCCTTGGCAAGTCCAACATTCCTGTTGATGCAGATTATTCACAGTCTCAGCAACACCCAGACCAGTTAAAGTAGTAAAGCACGACAAGGTAGCCAGTATCACAAGGAGGATGTGTTCAAGTGTCACAGACAGCTTCAGCCGAGCGCTCTGCACGGCATCCTTCAGGGAGACACCCATCTACGAGAGACGAACTAGGCATTCTGCGTCGAGCTGTCACCCCCCTCCTCGGGGAGTCTCTGCAGGGAGCCGGCGGGCAGCAGGGGCATGACAGCCTGGGACGCGCCCCTTCCATCCACCGCGTCATGGTTGAGCACACGTGAGCTGTTGGCCAGGGTGAGCAGGTCTGCGGAGCTTCGAATGTAGTAGCCGGGGAGCGCGGTGCCAGGCAGACCCGGCGGCTCTTTGCTGCCGGGACCCGTTGGGTCCGGGCCGGCCGCCTCCCCGTCCACAGAGTCGTCTGCGTGGTTCAGCGAGGCGTCCGGCGCGGAGGCCAGGCTCACGCCCAGGGCCGCCTGCGCGGCGAAGATGAGGTCCTCGTCGATGGCCCAGCGCAGGGGATCTGCGAAGAAGGACTCTGCCAGGCGTGCCTCCGGCGACTTCTGCCCCCAGAAGGTGTAGATGAGGTTGATGGACAGGCGCCGCAGCTGCAGGGTGGGTGGGTGGGGGTTGAAGGGGCTGTGAATCGTTGTGCCATTGGCAGCTTGAGCGCCGGCCGGGGGGCTTCCCTCATCAGATCTTGTGGCAGCAAGCACTGCTCAGGTTTCTTCCCTGTGCCAAGCCTGGGTCACTCGGGCATGCCTGCATGCCTGAGAAGGGGACCAACCACCCATCCACCAACCGCCAGTTCCACGCACCACCCAGGTGAGGTTGAACAGGAGGGAGATGAGCGCCAGCGTCTGGACCACCAGCGTCGTCTCGGAGCTGCCGGCCAGCTGGTCAGTGAGAAAATGGAGGAAGAGGCCCTCCGTGTGGTAGTCCAGCGCCTCGATCGAGCGCAGGGCGCTGTCGTTTGGATATGGTGTTTGGAGTTGTGGTACAGGCAGGAAAAGTTGCCACCCACAACCATGTCCTGAGGCATCGCAGCACCTAGCATCTGCCCCAATCTCACCAGGACAGACATTATCAGACACAATCCCCTCCCCCTCCATACAGAAATAAATACTCACTCGGCCACGGCGACGCGGCCCTGCAGCATGCCCTGCATCCCCAGCAGGGACTGCCGCATCTGCTCCCCCAGGCAGGCCACCTGCTCGCTCTCATGCTCCAGCAGGGCCAGGTGCGACAGGCGCTGCGCATCCATGCTATTAGCAAAGGTGGACAGCGTGTTCAGGATGTGCCTGCGGTGTTGGGGGGTGCGAGAGAGGTGGGACCGGTGTTGGAGGAGGAATGCAGTGCCGGCTGATTGTTGGGCGAGGGTTCTCCTCTGGTGTACTTGCATGCGCAGCGCTTGTGGCACTGCAGCCCCTGCGCTCGTCATTGCTCAGCTGCAGAGCCCATGCCACCCCCTTTGTCATGACCCTGGTGACTTTGTGGCAAGGCCAGCGTGCACTCCCCCTCTGTCCACCCCCCCATCCGGTTCCCCTGCTGCCAAACCTCCATCCCACCTGAAGAGGCGCTGCGCTTTGAAGGCGGAGCGCACCGGCAACCGGTGCGGGACGTGGAAGAGCTCGTACTCAAAGGCCAGCGCATCCACCAGCGGGGCCATGCCCGCGATCTTGGTGGCGGCCTGCGAGGCTTGGAGGAGGCAGCAGCCTGAGGCTTGGCCCTTGTGAGCAGCAAGGCCTCGCGATTCATTGACTGGGGCGCTTGCTCCTCCCCAGTGACATCACGGAACGGCAGGTCTGTGAAGACACACAACTTTTAAGCAGGACCAGAGATACACTCCAGGCACCCCCCACCCCCCGACGCCCGTGCCCGCCCGGCCCCGCTCACCGGCCAGATGGTCTTGTAGAGGTCCAGGAACACAGGCCCCACGGGGCGCGGGTCCTCGCTGATGACGCCCGGCCCGGCCTCAATCCGGAACTGGTTCCAGGCGGCCACCAGCTGCGCCCTCCAGCCCCCAGAGTAGAGGCTAGACCGCGCCACAAAGGCGGGCCCCCGCCGCGCCCAGGCCCCGGACCCCGTCCTGCGGGCGAGGCCGTCCCGGGGGCTGCGCTCGGGCGCCTCCAGGGTCACCCTGCGGCCAGGGCCCGCCTCGCCCGACGCCGCCTCGCCTTGCACCGCCTCGCTGGTACGGGTTGCGGCCCCGTGCAGGCTCTGAAGGGTGGGCGGCCGCCGGCCGTCGCCGCCGGCCCAGTCCCCCTCGGTGGGCACCAGGCGGCGCAGCATGGCCGCGCCCTGGCCGGCCAGGGCGCCCAGGCTGGCCGCCATGAGTCCCCGCGCAGTCTGGCGGGAGGAAACCGGGAACACCACCTGCGCCACCAGCATGTGGATCAGCACCCCCAGCACCGTCATCAGGCTGCGCAGCAGGCCCTGCGTAGGGTTGATTCCAAGACAGGAGGGAATATTGTATCAGGAGGCGAGCCGTGATGGGGCATGGGAGTGGCATGCGGGACAAGTGGCCTCCGGGAAGGTAGCGAGAGGGGGGTGCTGGATCGCTGTCATTGACCAGCAGAGGGACGAGCTCCTGCAAGCCGCCTCACCGATTCACCAGTACCACCCACATCAAAACCCCAAAACCACGCATCTCACATAGTTCCAGAAGACCTGGTCGCCGATGTAGCCCGGCAGCGCCGAGCCAAAGAGGCAGAAGAAGCCTGCCATGTAAGCAAAGGTGTTGCCCGGGTCCCAAGCGCAGCAGGTTGCTCCCACTGCCGAGATGCATGTCAGGCAGATCGTGGTGACGATGAACTGCAAGGTTTTGTTATTGAAGGGGGTTGGGGGGAGGGATGGGTTCATTGATGCAGTGATTGACATCTGCTGTGCTCACTTGCCTGTGGGTTCTGCGCCGCATCACCATCTGATTCCCCCAACATTTACAAATCGCTCCCCGGCATCCACGTCAGCACCCACATCACCCACCCGGACGCCAGCACAATGACACCTCACCTTGGCGGGGTGGTTGTCATGATTCAGCCCGTTGATGAGCACCGCAAGGTAGAGGGTGGCCAGGCCCAGTGCCATGCCCACCACCGTGCCCACCACTCGCAGCGACCCCTTCTTGTACACTGCGCCGATTGAGGTCTCCGCCACAGAGATGGTGGTCAGCATGGCCCAGATGGGGCGCTCCCAGAGGGCCAGGTACGACGCGTCCACCCCTGTCAGCACCATGACCAGGCCGTACGAGGCGGCCGTCTGGCAGGCGATGCGCAGGTGCAGGGGGGTGATTCCCGTGCGCACTGTCAGGCCACCCATCAGCCGGTCCCAGCGCCCGGGGGGAAGAGCGGGGACCGGTTCCACCCTGGCCACACTCCGGCGCTGCAGTCTGAGAGCGCGGGCCCGGGAGGAGAGGGTGGCATGGGCTGGCGGGGTTGGTAACATTCCGGTGCAAGGGGTGGGGCCTCCCGGGAGCTGCACGCCCAGCCTTGATGGGCCCGCACAGGGCCCTCCAGCCCCAAACTGTCTGTACATTACCACCCCATACACTGGAATTGATGTCCAGACAGGACAGCCGCATCTCCTCTGCATCTCAGACATTGCAACCCATACCCACCTCTCCCGCATGCCCGGCAGCTCCTCGCCCGTGCCGAGGCTGAGCAGGAACTCGTCCAGGCCGATGGCGGAGCGGCGGACGGTGGAGCCGCGGTGAATGAGGGAGGCCTGCAGGGCGCCCAGTGCCTCCCTCCCCGCCTGCGCTCAAGAGAGGGCAGTGCATGATGTTGATTCTCCCAGGGTTTGTGCCTTGGAAACACGAGCAGCATGCACGCGGGACTCTGCACGCCCACCCAGGGCGTGGGCACGCCCGCGTGAAACCCCTCCGCTTCAGCCTGCTCATAGCACTCAGCCCCTTCTGCCTCACCGCCTCATTGGCGGGGGCCGGGGTGTAGGCAACCTTTGCCATGTCTGCCGCTGGGTAGGCCAGCAGGAAGCTCCTGACGGCCTTGCCGGACTGCGGCTGGTCCTTTGCCAGCACCGCAGGCAGAACCTGGTAGATCTTGCGGATCTGCAAGCGCAGGTATGAATTTTTGACAGACTGTCCCAGTGCCAAGATAGATGTTTGAAAAGTTATTTGGTCAAAGGGCACCCAGACTCGGCTGCAGAGTGCCCAGCGGGGTCACATTCAAGGGCATCAGGATCAGGCATGCCTCCAAGAGTCGCAGTCATGAAGATTGCGTATCCACATACGGGCGAGCCATCCCCCGCTGCTCCCTGGTCCCCACCCTCTGCCCTTCCTCCATAACACTCCCCGTACCTGAGTAGCCGAGGTGAGGACGTTTGTGGCCATGATGTGGAATGCCATGCTGTCTGGGGTGAGGGCCAGCTCCTTCGGCAGCCTCTGGAATGCGAGTATAAGGCAGCACAGGGCGCCATGCAGGTCGCCCAGTGCCTGCAGGCCGTCCTCGATGGGCGCATTGTCAGTCAGGCAGGCCGCCGCCCGGCACAGGCTGACGCGGGCGTTGTCCCTGACCCTGGCAAACAGGTCGGCATGGGCGTGCACCATGGACAGCCGGAGCTGACCGGCCTGGGCGGGGGAAGAGGAGAGAAGGTGGGGGGGCAGTATCCCGGTGTGGGTGCATGGACGGCCCAGTGAGGGGAGGACTGCACAAACGCCCGACACCCAGGAAGAGGGACCCTAGGCCACACAGACCCATGCGCCACCCTCCACGCCCCCCATAAAAGCCTGTCTGAGGAGAATTTACTGAGGAAGGGTGCAGAGCCCCATGGCCTGGCTGTGCAGCCTGCAGGCAACCACCACTGCATGCCAGGCAGCCAGGCATGTGGGCCCGGACCAGGCACCCAAGAACACCAACCCTCCGCGTGCCTGCACTGGGTACAGCATGACGGTGACGGCGCTGAGCAGGGAGCGTGCCAGGAGGGAGGCCTTCCAGAAGGGACGAAAAGCGAGGACGTGGGTGGGGCGGTACAGGTCCAGTTCCAGCCGGGCGCTGGAGCTGTGCTCCCGCGCAGCCTGCAGTGAGCAGGCCCGGGGGTGTTGGTGTGATGAAAGAGGAGGGGAGGGAAGCATTCTATATGGTAGGGGGTGTGAGGTGGATGAGAGGGGCCGGCGGATCCTCTGACAAGGCACAATCTCATGAACCCTTGCTGAGTAACATCCCCCCTGCCTGAGCAAGCCAGGAATCACATCCTCCTCCTCCCCGGATGATTTCCCCCTCCATCGCACCGTGATCCTTTTCCCGGAGTTGTAGGAGGCCATGTGGATGGATATGACGCGGGGGTAAAGGCCGGAGTCGATGTTGAGGGCCCCGGAATCGCCCGTGCCTGAGGCCGCAGCCAGCTTCCCCTCCTCGTTCAGCTTCTCCAGAGTCAAGTCCAGGATGTCAGCCAGGACCCCCGCGGTGGCGCGCAGGCCGTTGGCGAGCGCCATCCGCGCCAGCAGGCCTGCGAGAGTGCGTGCTCGCAGGGGTGGGCTCGTCGGGGTGACAGGGCTGCAGCGGTCTGCCACTGAGGAGCGAAGTGGAGGTCTGACTGGGCACCTGCCCGACAGGCATGCACGCCAAATACCCAACGCCAGAGGGGCCAAGCCCGGGGCACAGCCTCGCCGGCACACGGCAGGCCCACCTGCGGGGGTGGGAGCTATGAGGAAGGTGGTGGCCCAGGTGATGGCCACAGCGACGCAGGTGTAGAAGAGGAGGTAGCGTGGGAACTGGGGCAGGAGGTCTACGGGAGTGCGGTAGGCGCCGCAGGCGATGAGGGCATAGAAGATGAGGACGATCAGGCCGGGGAACTTCTGGCTTGGGCGCATGACTCGGTAAACAGCCAGGCAGTAGATGACGGGGCAGGAAATCAGCAGGGTCACGACCAGCTGGGGTAAGGAGGGAAGGGTTGGGGTGGACAGGGTGACATGGAGGGGCTCCAGTGAGCATGTCCACAGGGCGTCTGCTCCCCCAGCCTGGAAACTGGTCGCACTTCAATCTGCAGCAGCGACGGACCGTCGCAACACGACTTCTCACCTTGACGGCGGAGTTGTCATTGCTTCCCCCCATGATGGCCACAATGAGGTAGAGCGAGGCCAGCGCCAGGCCCACCCCCGCGGAGCTGGCAAGGAGGAATATGGCCCCCAGCCTGAACATGCCCTGCCGGCTCATAGGCCTTACGCAAAACAGGAGTGCCAGCCAGAAGCATATGAGCTGGGGAGGGTGGAGGGGACGGGGGTCTTGGGGCCAGGGCTGGACATGAACTGCAACCATTTACCATCGCATCTGTAGGCGTGCACTCATGCAAGGGTATTGCTTCTCCCATACGTCTGCCCACCACCCCTCACCATGGGATTTACAAACTCTTGGGTGACAGTGAATTTTCTCCAGATGCCAGGGTAGCTGAAAATCGCCATGACCAGGAAGGTGGAGGCCCCCATCTGCAGGGTCATGACATGGGCTTCATGGAGACAGCTGTGACCCCATTCCGGCTGGTCAACTTGTAAGCAGTGACATTGCCCCCACCTAGCAACACGGGACCACCTGCACTCCTTGGCGTATGTGAACGGCTAGGAAGCCCCGCCGGACCATCCAGCCGGGCAGCCGGCTCGGCCAGACCCCACCCGAAGGGGCCATGGCCCGCTTGCTTCGCCTACAGCAACCGGCGCTGGGCCCTTATGTAGTTAGTAATATTACCACCATGTTGTATTCATGCATTTCATGTAATAGCAAGGGTGGCTGGGATTTGGTGTGCACCATGGTCCCTTGCTTGTCCCATTCGACATCATATGTTCATATACTCTTCAGGATCTGGCTCGGGGCATTGCCGAGGCGAAGAGGCATAGGCTTTATCTCGAGGGAGAATCACAGACCTTCTCCGTTTCCAGCCTGGCATGCATCCCCTCCATCTGACCTATCGTCGATGTCTCTCGTCTCATCACAGCGCATTGTCCCTCCGCAACGCATTCAGCATCGGACCCAGCGCAGACCTCCGCACCCCCGGCCGTGGCTTGACCGCCCCTCTTGCGCTCATGGGGGCCGGCGCGGTGCTGGCTGGCTGGGGAGCCGGAATCCTCGCCTCGGCCACTGGCGACCCTGACCTCGCGCCCACGCCCCCGCTCGCTGTCGCGCCGGCTGGGGAAAGCACGGCGCGCCGGGCCTGGAGCTGGGCGTACAGGTCGGCCCAGGCCCCCTCCGGCACGATGGCGGAGCCGAGCGGTGGCGACGCAGCGGCGCCCCCGCCCGTGATCAGGGGGGGCGGACCCAGGCGGGAGTGGTACGCCGGGCCCTGGCTCTCAAAGGCGCCGGCATCCTCTGGCCGCTGGCCGGTCCCGCTGACACAGGCCGCAGCGGCATGCTGCCCCTCTCTCATCGCTGAGGTCGGGCCAGGGGTTGTGGTACGCGGGGCGCTGCCCACCCAAGTGGGCTCCACCAGCTGGTCCATGGCAGCCTCGAGCGCGCCATTCTCGGCGTACGCGCCGTACTCTGCAGGGGTTGGGACGTGAGGCTGGTCAGCACCCTGCCCAGCCCGCTCCCAGGACGATGATCACGCAGCGTAGGGGGGGACCCTGCGAGGGAACCCATACGTTCCTGCTACACTCTCCTCCAGGTACTGTTGGCAAACAGGCCCACCTGCACATTCGCCACTGCCCTTACCTGGTTCATCTTCTTCATCATCATCATCCATGCCAGCAGCCTCACGCTGCCGCTGCACCTCCTCCCACCGCTGCTGCAGCGGATGCCCAGCGGTAGGCGGGTGCGGCTTCAGCACCAGGGTCCTGCTGGATGGGTCCACAGCGCAGACCAACCCCCGCCGTGGGGACGACACCTGCGCCATGCGACAGGGTCGAGGGGGAGGGAGGCACATGGCGGGGGGGACGATACTGATTACATTCTGTCAGACTCTGTGAGCAGCCGGCCGATGGCATGACCACGCCGTCCACTCCTTGCACCTGCGACCTATCATCCCTCGCAGTCAAACTGCCCCTGCCCACCTCTGGAGATCCTCCCCAGCATTCCAGGAGGCGGTACTGCAAGACGTCTCCCTCGCCTGGGAGCTCGCCTGGGGGGACTGGCGTGAGGATTTCTGCCAGTGTCGGGCTGGCGCCCTGCCTGCCAAGCCCACCCCCCTGGGGCCTTGGAGCCACAGGCAAGGGTGTGCCTTGTGCCGCAGAGTCTAGCTGAGGGAACTTTAGGCATTCCGCCGGCCTGCCGGGAGTCGCAGCAGCTGGGCTGGGCCTCTTGGTCAGGCCATCCGCCGTCCCCTTGCCGTTTGCAGAGCCAGGGCCGGCCAGGATGCCCATGCGCTTCAGCCGCCGTTTGGCGGCCTTGCGGCGCGCACTGCGGCTGGGACCTTTGGCACCCGAGGTCGGCGCCTCCTGCGGGTGAAGTGGCAGTGTGCGGATTGTGTGGAACGAAGGCGCTCAGGGACACAGGCACCTTTGCTACATGAAATCCAGGCCATTGCTGGCAAGGACACGGACCAGACAACCTCCGGCATCCATAAAGGCAAAAGGTACTTGACCCTGGAGGTACCTGGAGCATTGCGGGCGAGGCGGGTGACAGGCCCACCAATTGAGACGCGGATTGCCCATTCCTGAGACCAATGTTTGACAGCGATGCGCACCGCCCCGCCCTGGCCTCGCCTGATTCTTCCTCAGAGCTGCTCGTATCTGTCTCCTCTTCCGAACTGCTGCTGCTGCTGCCCTCCACAGCTTCCCCCTCCGAGCTGCTGCTGCTGCTACCACTGCTGCCATCGTCAGGCTCTTCATCAGAAGTGCTGCTGCTCTCTTCCGTCCCCTCAGAAGAGCTGCTGCTGCTGCTGCTCACATCTTCCTCCCCGAGCCGGACCCGCTTGATCTTGCGCAGCTGATCCTGGTGGGAGACTTTGCCTCCTGCCGTTGCCGAACGCAGGGGGGGGCCTGCATCGCCTGGCGCAGGGAGGGCAAGATGTGCGGCCGATGTAGGCAAGTCTTCCCTTTGCGGGCGCTTGGCGCCCCGCCTGTCGTGCATCACATGCTTGCGAATGACTATTTGTAGCACGTCGTCCCTGTCCAGGGTGCCAACAGGCGAGTCCTCCAGCACGTAGAAGCCGGCCACCTTTGCAAGGACCTGGGGCCGGACACCGGCTGGCATGGCTTGCATGCAGACCTGCGAGGGCGCCACCCAGGGCAGATGATCGAAATGTGAACTGATTCGTGTACCATTAAGAACCTCAATGTGATGGCATGCAGAGCAGTCTGGGTCAGGGTGTATCCCAATATTAAAGGTGGGGGTGCACAACGCTTCCCACCTGGTCGAGGACGTCGCCGACAGTGCGCATGCTTGCCGCGATGGGGAGCCTGGAGAGGGAAGAGGCTAGGGGTATGGAGACACATACCTGAAAGTGTAAATTGCATCCGAGCATCAAGTCGCATCTTCCTTACCAGAATCTGTCCACCAGCTCGAAGTCTTCCCTTCGGGTGTTGGGCGGGGTGGGCAAGACCACCCGCACCCTCGTCAAGCAGCCGCTCCTCATCGCGGCTCCGATGCTGATCCACGACCAGATAAAAGAATCCCTTGGGAAATGGCGCATGTTGTGTGCACAACGATGCTCTTGGACCTTGGCATCGAGCAATGAGTTTGCGCGCGCTACGCTGCGATTGTTGTCCGTCTCCATGCCGAGAATGATGAGGGGAACCTCAAAGCCTCTCGTCGTGGGCTGCATGGACCAGAACAGAGGTACGCCGTGTACGATTTATCATGTGCAGGTTATTTATAGGCAGTAAGGGCTACGAAGTTTTGATGATGGAGTATCATGTTGCAAGCTACTCCATTGTCTGTCACTCTGAGCATGAGAGCCATGCCTGCCTCGGCCACGCCATCACAATCCCCCCAATGCACCTTCCATTGAACCATGTGCCCAGTTGCTCGTTTCGCAGCTGTAAGCTCGCCTCACGAAAACAAGCTCAGGGCAAAGAGGTGTGGTGTGCAAGTCGAAGCTTCGTGCAGGGTTCATCTTCGGCTGGTATCAAGTCCCAGGGCTTGAGGCTAGTCGCACAACCTTAATCTCTTCTGTTGGATCCAAATCTCAACAGGTCCAAAAGGCAGAGATGCCCTTTTATTGCTTTCCAACCTCAGTGCACAGAAAGATTAATCCCAGCACCGGTCCTCATACCTAAGGAAACTGTTCTCACCATGGATCGATTTTCTGCCTCACTCCCACCTGTGCAGTAAGCATCTGCGTCAGTAAATGTGCACCGCTGTATCACTCACATACGAGAAACCTGGACCCTAGACTCACCTGCAGATCGTCGTAGTCAGCCTGCGTCCTCCCGCAAGAGTGCGGTGTGACTGAAATGGCCGTTCAGAACAGCCAGGGCGGAGTTTGGAGCAAAGGAGCAGAGGATTCGGTCCCAGGAGTCAAAGAAACGTCCGATTCCGGGCCTGAGCCTCAGCTATTCTGAGGTGAGCAAGTGATTGACATGACCCTTGGATGCAGCTGAGCACATCAGTGGCTGATTGCTGAAGGGTGGCATGCAGTGATCCAATCTGAGTCCAGGGCATCACCACCGAGTCCATCACCGTACCCACCAATGATACATCTCTTAAGCTCCTTCTGCGATATGGCGACAAGGACCTTTTTTGGGAACAAACCTCACCCACGTATAGATTGGGTCATCCTCCCGCCTGGCTCTTGTCTGCTCCATGCACAGCGTCGCACACAGGTTGCCTGTGTGATGAAAGGGGTTGAATCAGCATAGCATTGAACCGACATAACAGCATGTATGGTTGCCATACATTTCCCTGATATATGGCACATACTCTGTTCTACGGGGATGGTCTCCATCTCTGGGAGCGATGGGCGCCCAATATACAGTACAAATTGGTAGGAGGACCCGCTGTCAATCCTCAGCCTCACGACTGTGCCAGGAGCAAAATGGCATTGCCCCAAGTTGAAGCGCAGCAGCAGCCTGTGGGTAGGAAGGTAGTAGATCAGAGTGCACTGTAATGGATGTGGGAGATCTCATTCTGACCAAAAATGGGCAGCCAGTAATGTTTGCACAGGCAGGGTGTGCAGGCCGCGGTTGCAGGAGATTACCTGCCATGCCCAAAGGAACAAGGGTGCGTCAACATATCGCCAACCTCCTTGCCTTGCATCCTCAGGGACGTCGATGCACGTTGGTGCAGAAAGGTGCCTCCAGCTGTTGTTCCTCCAATAATTTTCGAGCCTGTCCGCATCGCACATCCCATACTGAATTCGACAAAGATGTTGCTGAACCTCCGCCTACAAAACCAGGATATTGCACACTTTGTATGGGTCTGGGCAGAAGACACCTGGCTGTGACTAGTGGTGGCCAAAACTTCAGATGGCTGCCAGGTCGATGCACAGGCTCACCACCTCTCATGTGCCCACCTCAGCAAATAGGGTGCGGACGTGGTTGGTAATATTGCTGTCGCACCAGCTACGAAATTCTCAACATAACCAGAAGTGTAGAGCGTCAAGAACTGCAAGTGTTCTCTGGGCGATGTGTAGGTCCCTGGCCAGAGTGGGGGGTTTCACATGAGGAGGGGACAGTGGCAAGGGTAAGTTTTGTGGCTAAGACTAGGGCTGGTGGAAACCCCTCATACAGACTATCACCAACCATAGGAATGACAAGCATGCTCCCACAGTCGTCCGTTGCAAGTACCTTGGGGGTTGCCACGCTCTTGAAGCTTTCTCATAGCCATATATGCTGTACTTGAGGATGATGACGCCTCAGTAGTGGTAAGGGGAAACACCTACGGCGGCACCGGGAGGGTTGTCCCAGGGTCCAGGCTCAGTCCGTATAACATTGTGAGGAGCCGAGCAGACAGGGCGGTCGTGTAGCTCACAAGGTCCAGGCTCTATCAAAACCTACATTTTAAGCCAGAGAAGCATACCTCATCCATAGTAAACGTCTTGTAAGTCAAAGGATGCCTCTCCAACCTCTGCTCACCAAGAGAGTCGATGGACCCCCGACAGTGGTTCAAAATGAATGAGAAATGGCTGCTTCATCTTTTTCACTTTCCTCCCGCGCATCCTGAAGACGGTACTGAACAGCTTGGCCTCCCAGCCAAACTCGGGCGTCACCAAGACCCCGAGATGATTAAGAACCTGCAGGAGCAGGAATGGAAAGTGGCGAGCAGCTACAGAACCAGGGTGCCAGCTGGTCCCACCTCTCTCCAAGATACAGGCTGCGGCCAGGTTGCTTACTATAATAAGCACTACGAAAGCCTCAAAGGGGGTGAAGTAGGTCTTGTCAAGGAAGTCTGGAAGCACTGTGGGACAATAGTCCTCTGCAGGGTCCTGGGAGTATGGCCGAACCGTGAACAGTGGCAGGTCCCCCTGCAAACAGGGAAGGAGGTAGAGCTCATGTACCATGCAGCACTGCCTTGGGGTCTTCTCGATTTCGTGTCAGATGAATAGCTTGTGATGTGTCCCTCCCCACTCATCAGTGACCCTCCGTACCTCTGGTCCTGAGCAGAGGCCTTGGCTGGGGAAGAGGACATGGGCTGTGCATGTAAGCACCAAGTATGCCTTATTCAAACCTTCGACCATATCGTATGCGGGGAAGAAGGGGTCAAGCTTGGTGCACCTCACATTGTGCTCCGCGCATGCCGCTCAGTTGCGCTCTTTGCAGGAGGTTGACTAATAAGCTACATGCACGGATGTAGAGTTAAGAGCTCTCCTCATCCCATTCACCCATACGTTTCGCATTCGGCTGAGGCTTGAACATGCCGACCTACCAGGATCAACATTTTGCAGGCTCCGTGAGACTCTGTCAATGACAGCTTCCCACATTTGCCATTCGTGCTCTGTGCGCACGGTACGTTCAGGAGTGTATATGATGTGCTGCGGATGCCAGGGTGGCAGGTACAGATGATGGTATGAATGTAAATTGTCAGATGCATGCTACAAGGTATGCAAGGCCTGTCAGGGTCCCAGGTTCCAGTGTGGATGTCATGGCGTGCGTGGCTGGAAAGCATGCAGCACTCACAAGTCGGAGGGTGTGAAGGAGGAAGGCCGCTCCCTGGTCTGCATTCGTCAGTATACCCTTGAGCAGGGTTCCTGCCTTTGTACCCGCGAGCTCTCTAATCCTTATGTAGTCATCCAGCCTCACAGCCCAGAACCTCATTCCACATTGCATGACTGGCGCCTCTCTCTACGCACGCAGCAGACCCTGCGCAGAATCGGCGGAGAGGAAGGCAGTGCTGCGATTCCTGCGAACAGAATTCCAATCCTCCTTGTCCTGGCAGTCGGGACCCCATGACCCCACTGGGAATGCACCTGGCAAGCTGGGTCACCACTGGGTGACATTCAAGCGCCACACCAGAACTCAACTTTGGGAGACAAAATGTGTCCACTGCCCAGAATTCACGGCCCCACTGGAAACTGGTCAACGCTGTAAGGGCACTTCGTCGGTCCTGCACATGATGAACTTCAGACATCTGATCACTGCTGGAAAAGGCACAGAAGCGCCTAGCAAGCCACAACTCACGTTGGTCATCCTTTCACGCTTCCCTTCTTTCATTGGTGCGCCAGGCTCATGGGGAAACAGAGACTCCCTCATCCGTGAAGGTTCCCGCCTCCTTTCGATGCGTTACATGAATGTATAGGACAGGTACATTTTGGCCTCCTTGCACGTTCCAGCTAGTCGGCACATACTTTGGGTATTAAAAAGCTGGTAGCAGATGTCGTGATGCGTCAGCAAAACCCTCAGCAGTGGATGCGCTACCTTTCCAGGGTTGGAGCCAGAATTCTTCCCTGCGAAATCCACCCCCTGCATGGAGGCAAACCCGTCTCCTGGAACTCCCTTTGAGTATTGCGGTTTTAGCAATTGAAGTACAAAGCAAGGTCTCGCAATCTGCTACTCTGGCTGATCATGTCGAGAGTCATCGGAAGAACTGTGAGGACGCTCCCGGAACGGAACGCAGGTCACAGCATGCTCGGGGGCGAAAGGCGAAGTTCGACTTTCCACTCAGTGCTGCTGCCATCATCTGGTCCTCAGTCGCAGGGATTCAGTGCAGCTAGATTGCCAATTGTGTGTGTCAAGCCTGCACTTATAACTTAAATCAGCAGGCATCCATCCAGAGGAGCACCCAAGCGCTGGATTCTTCACCGCTCAGCAGTAACATGGTGCATCCAAAACACTGCCACTGGAAGCCTTGCCCGTCACCATCAATGGTGCATGTTCATCAATACCTCGACGGCTTGAAGATGGAGTGGTGTGGAGGGTGGCCATTGATGCTGGCCGTGGCAGCATTGGGAACAAAGTGGCAGCTGGACCTGTCCCAGCACTCAAAGTAGCGACCGACGTCGAATCTACCCTCCAACCACTCTGTGATCGGGTCTGGCATGGAATTAGCTCCTGTGCAATTCGACGCCACGTCAGAGGGCCGGTTGCCTCACCCAGTCAGGCTCCCTCACTCCGAATCCCTGGTCACTCAACTCGCCTGGAATGCTGGTCTTGAGCTGCTCCTCATCCACGGGCTCCAGCTGATCCTCAGGAACAAAGTTGATGGGATCGTCAGCGATGTCATTCACCGTCGGTACCTTTGTGCGATTCAGGCACAGCAGCGCGCAGTAGTTGTCTGTGATGCAGAGATTGAGCCTGGTGAACAGGGGAAGGGGCCTGGGCTGAGCCAGGAATTAGGCATGCTGGTCTGTGATGCCAAGCAAGAGGTCGATGTCCTCCCACACCCACCCACCTGGGATGTATTCCGGGTGCCAGGTCCCCTCCTCCCTCTCGCAGCCTGTGTAGATCACGATGCAGTAGGCCTGAACATGATCCACGGCGCTGACAACCGTGCCGGGCCGGAAGCGGCACAGCCCATGCTCGTGCCGCTGCAGTTGCCTGCAGTGAAGAGGCCCGCAGGAGGATTTGAACTCCAAGGCGGCTGGGCTCTCAGGCCACAAGGTTGAGGAGTAAAGTCAGAGCATGGAGTGGCTAACCCCTGTGCTATCTCCTGCAGGCAGCCCTCCCAGCGCCCCCTCGCCAGTTTCCTACTCTGCCATTGGCGGGACGGTGATGAGGCCGTTGCTTTCTGGGTCCCGATGATCAGAATTCATCGAGATGCCACCACGTTTAAGAATTGTCATGACATCAAAGAGGCGGGCCAGGTGCCAATGCCGCCAGATCTGCAGAGCAGGAGGGAGTGTGGGAGGTGCGGGACACATGCTTCAACGACAGCTCACGCTGCCCCGCCCCAGGACCTCTGCCGACCCTCAGGTCCCCTGCCCATGTGATCAGCAGGGCCAAGTTCACACACCGGCTGTAGCTGATGGTATGCGTTGGGTCTCGTGTCACCCGGGTATGGTCTGGCACCAGCTTGGCTCCAGAGTACTCCCAGCAAGGTTTGTGCACGCTGAGCACGCCATGCGTCCCTGCGATAATCAACGGTGACAGGGGGGTGGAAGGGACAGATGTGCGGGTGTGGAAGAGTAGGTGCAGGACAGCAGTCTGCTGAGTGCGTCAGGCAGGGAGCGCTTTGAGGATGTGCCAGACCGAGGAGAAGAGCCCCATCCAGCTTACTGAACTCTACAGCACCTTGGAAGGACCCATTCCTTTGCAACAGCGTCTACGTAGCCCTGCACGCTGAGATGCAGCATGCGTTCTAACCAGAATCTATCCTCCTCCACGCCGAGGTAGTAGGGCAGCCTGGACTCTGTCTGTCCTCTGGATCGCAGGACGCTGTGAAAGGGGAAAGGGTCTCCTGTGCTGAACGCTGGCGTGTGCACTGGCGCAGCGCCACATGACACGATTAATGCATGCTTCCTCTGCCCTTCGAGCTCATACACATCCTCACCCAAGCCTCTCAGCATGGACCCCGAGCAACAGCCCACCGTACCACAAAGCACGCCCTGCCTCTGGCGGCTTTGTGAAGCACAGGTCCATGCGCACCGGGCGGCCCCCCTCCCCATTTTCAAGGGCGACAGCGAAAGCATTCCCTCTGAAGTCTAGGCCCCTGCCTCGCCAAGGCTCTATGAGTACGGAAAGGGAGTTGGCAACCTGCGAGGGTCAGTGGCCACTTAAGCGTCGTCCCGTTTGGAAAAACGCAAGCAGGTGCACCATAACAAGTCCAATCCAGGCAGCGTAAACAATGGGCACTCAATCACTCCTTGCTCTTACGAGGAGGAGCACCAAGTAGGCTTGACAGGGTGTCAAGCACTTGTCAATAGCAAAGTCGGGGAGAATGGTGGGGCAGTAGCCAGCTGAGTTTTCGCTGACCAGAGCTAGCTCGAAATAGGGTTGCTCACCCTACACGAACAGGGGATGCAGGAGGTTGTGTCACTCACAGGGCCTTGAGGGAAAATGCAAGACCTCTCAACTTCACGCTGTGTGCCTCAGCGCCAGAGTGCCAGCACCTCTGTTCTATCAGGGAGGCCGGGTGTGGGAAAGAGGGCGCGGACTATACACTCCAGCTTTGCGTAATTTGCAGCCTTAGTTGCCATGCCTAGGAGTGTGCGTGGCCGACAGGGTGCTTTGCTGCAGGATGCAGTGCAGCGACCAGACAGGTCGGAGCCATTTCTAACCGACAGCCTCGAGTAAACAGAAACTCCTGTCTTTTTCAAACAAAGTTAGCCTCAATGAAGCTTGGACATTCAAGATTGAGTCCCAGTTCACCTGTCTCCTGCTCTGCCAGCGCCGTCCTGGCTTTGGTCATGACTGGTTCCCACATATCAGGAGGTGAAGGTGTTGAAACTGGGTTGCTGGGGTCAGCCATCAAGTGCTGTGAGGAGTGACAAGGCACTAAGATGTCATAGGGTCTTTTGGGCAGAGCCTGGAGCTCAAGGTGCTCCTGACAAGCCAGCCACTGGCGTCTGCACGCTAAAATCTTGGCAATGCGGTTGCGCTGCCCTGCTCTTGAGCCTCATCACAACTCACCAGCAGGTTGACCAGGCGCATGAGGCATGAGTGCAGGGAGGGACCGAGTCGTCCTCCTTGGGCTAGACATTGAGCCTCACTTGGCTTGACAAAGTGTCCCTTGAGAAAGTCTGAGATGAGCACAGCCCAGAATCGCTTCCCACACTGGGTCACAGGCATCTTGATCCAGCCTGTCAGCAGTCCCTGTCACAAAAGGGCATTATGGTGCACCTTGTCAATTCCCTTCCAACCACAGAGCCTGGTCCACCACATCAACCCCGGAATGAAGGCCGCCGGAGTGGCACATGAATGTAGGAGGAGATGTTACCTGTAATCTAGGGTAACCTATTCGCATCAAGATGCGGAGATCTTCCTCAGAAACCCTCTTGTCCCACTGCAAGCGAGTCATTGCGCGAATTGCTTCGTTCTCGGCCTGGGGGAGACTGTGGCTCGGCCTGAGACCCTGCTACAAGGCTGCTATGCATACGCACCTTGCAGACAAGACACTTCACCTCACCCGACTCCTGTCGCCATAGATGCTTGCTGTTGCCCGTGTGCCAATGCCATCAGGATAGTGTGCGGAAGGCGCCTCTGCCCATCGATGTGCGTACACGTAGGGGAAGTAGATCCTGTCCGTGTAAGCCCATGCTTCCCGGCATGTGAAGCCTACTCGACACATGGCTGCATCCTCAAGGAAGTCACCCAATGTTTCTCCAGTTCGAACAAGAATCTGGATGAAATTTGGCGCCGCGCCATTAGGAGACATGGCCTGGTTGCACTGCGCTCCAGAATATTTACGAGACGTCGTGAGAGCGCTTTCGCTAAAAATGCCGGTTTTACTATGCCTCTATATACATTTGGCACATTACAAGGTCGATCGCGAAATGAGTTGGAGCAACGCTCCACCAATAGCGAGATCCGGGGGAGGCAAGCTGGGAAGCAATGACCCTGCCAGCTGGCAACCATGGCTTTTCTAAATATTACCCTTCCTCCCCTCTCCCCCACACGAGAATCTGCGAATGCGCTGTATTGCTTTCCATTGCATGTGTCTCTCGCTGACTCCATCAGCTGTCCGAACGTGTGTCCGTGCGCCGCGCCTGTCGCCGATTCTGGACTATCTGTTGAACCACCGCGAAGTCTTTAAGAGCATGTACCCTCCAAATGTTTGGCTGATTCAAATCGATTGCCAAGATTTAGATTGTGCTCCACTATTCTGTGTCACAAGCCTCATGCACGCCCTCCATGGCGTACCCGGCTCCTCCAAAGCGATGTTGCATTTGAAATGGAGACCTTGCATAATTCAATGAGAACAAACAATCCGAACAGCTGCTGGCTTGCTGATGATATCCCATAGTGCCAGAGATGACCTCCTGTTGCCTTCAGACCCTCTCTGTACACACACAGAGGCACTTCACCATCTGCTGACCATCCTTTTGGCTAGCTCAAGGTATGGATTTTCCTTCCTCCTCTCACCCACCTGCGGGGACAGCAGTGGTGTCAGTACATGTGCAACCCTGTATTACTCACATACGAAAGTCCTGCACCTGGACTCACTCGCAGCGCGACATACTCATTCCGCATGTCTTGGAAGAGCGCGGTGGGGGGAAGGTGGCCGTTCAGAGCGGCCAGGGCGCAGTTTGGAACGAAGGAGCAGAGGATCCTGTCCCAAGAATCGAAGAAACGTCCGATGCCGGGCCTGAGCTTCAACCATTCTGAGAAGGGGAAGCGCTTGACGTAACTTCAGGGAGTAGCTCAGCATAGCAGCAGCTATTGTCCAACAGGCAGTAATCAGACATGTAATCAGGGCATCACCAACAGACTCATGACCATACCCACCAATGATGCACCTCTTCAGCTCCTCCCGCGGCACGGCTACAAGGCTCCTTTCAGGAGCAAATCTCACCCAGGAGAAATTTGGGTCTTGCCCGCGCCTCACCCTCGTCTGGTCCATACACAGCGTTGCACACAGATTCCCTGGATCAACAATGGGGCTGAGTCAGCATAGTGTGAAGCCTGTCTGACAGGGGTATCATGTGCCATGCCTTTTCCCGTGGAGAGGCACATACCCTGCCCGATGGCGTTAGTCTCCACATCTGGGAGTGCATGGCCTCCAGTGTACATAACAATGCGGTAGGAGGACCCAAGATCGCTCGTAAGCCTCACGACTGTGCCAGGAGCATAGCGGCACTGTCCCAGTTCATGGCGCAGCAGTTGCCTGTGAGTGAAGGTAGTTCAGAGTGGGATATGATGGACATGGGGGATCTCATACTAACCAAAATCCTTGACAGCCGGTGAAGCTCGCAAGGTCAGAGACTGTGCAGGCTTCACTCGCAATAGGTTGGAGGTCAGACCCAAAGATAGACATGCGCTTCATGATGACAACATCATGCTTGCCTTGCATCGCTGGGAACATCAATGCATGCTGTCGCAGGAAGTTGCCTCCAGTTGTTGTTCCTCCAGTATTTTTCGAGCATGGCCTCATCACGCATCCCAACCCGGATCCTAGAAAGGTGTTGCTCATTCTCTACCTACAAGACCAGGACATCGCACGCTTTGCATGGGCTGTATGGACAAGAGATCTTCAGCTGCCACTGAAAGATGTTGGAAGGATGAGGTGGCTACCAGAGTCATCCACAGCCTCAGCATCCACTATGCACAAACCTCGGCCTGAAGAGCGCGGACATGCTCAGCAGTTTCGCTGTCGCGCCAGCTGCCATGCTCCTTTCTCACCCAGATGTACAGCGCGCCAAGAATGGCAAGTGCTCTACGAGCGACATATTGGTCCCTGGCAAGGGCGAGGGCGTTAAGCGTGAGGAGAAGACAAGTGGCATTGCGAGGGTGGCTTCCAGGGCATAGACGGGAGCTGGTGGAAACGCGTGATGCAGACAATCAAACCAACATCAAGGATTGCAAGCATGCTCCCACAGCCGCCAGTAGCAAGTACCTTGGAAGTTGCCACCGCCGGGAGGCTCTCTCGTAGCTCTGTACGCTGTACTTGAGGAGGAGGTCCCCCCAGTAATAGTAGTGACCAGGATGCTGGACAACATACTGGGGGCAATCCCAGGGTTTAGGCTCAGTCCGTATGACACTGCATGTGTAGAGGGAGGATATGCAAGCATGGTATGCACAAGGACCAGGCTCTGTCAAAGGGCTAGCTCTCAGGCCAGGCAAGCATATTTCATGCACATCAGCTGTCATGCATGGAAGATCTCACCTATCCCACCTCCTCTCACCAACATAGCTGATGTCTACCAGGAAGTGGTTCAAAGTGGATGTTTATGGGCTGCTTCAGCTGTCTGAATTTCCTCCCACGCGGACTATGCACGCCAGCTTTGTTTCGTCTGCAGTATTTGATGCCATGCCTAGGAGTGTGAGTGGCCAACAGCATGCTTGGAGCACACAACCTGCAAGCTGCTGCGCATATGATAAGCCAGGTGAGGAGCCGAAGTTTTCCGACCACATCCAAGGAAAAACTCTCCATGTCCTGACGAACAAAGTCTGCCTCGAAAAATAGCCAAGGCACCATAGAAAAGCGAGCCTCAGCTCACCTGTGTCCAGATCTGTCAGCGCCCTACTGACTCTTGCCAGGACAGGCTCCCACATATTAAGACGTGAAGGTGCTAAGACTGGCTTGCTGGGGTTGGACATCGAGTGCTGTCAGGGGCAAAGAAGGGTCATATGAAGACTCTGGGAGGGCATGCAGGCCTAGGTATCCTTGGCAAGCCGGTCACAGCTCCCCCATCACCAGCATCCCCAGATTTCTAGTGGGTGGCCCTCTCCTGCGTTTCCTCTCAACTCACCAACAGATTGATAGGGCGCAGGAGGCGTGTGTGGAGGTGAATTTTGCGGTGCCGCTTTGGGGGTGGGAGCCTAATCTCTTCATTCTTGACCTAGTACTCCTTGACAAAATCTAACAACAGGGTACCCCAGAATCGATCTCCACATTGGGTCACGGGCATCTTGCTCCAGCATGTCAGGAGTCCCTGTCACAACAGGGGATTTTTGTACCTGGTAAGGTCTCTCACACCTCACTGCCTGTCCCATCAAGTCACACCCAGCACACAATCCAGCACCGATACCACATCAATATGAAACCACATAATTCCTGCAACTTTGAGAACCCTAGGCAGATAATATCGCAAAGATGGTCCCTAGACCATCTTTTATCCCACTGCAGGCGCGCTATCGCTTTAAGTGCCTCGGTCTCGTCCTGGGGGAGTGACCGGCGTAAAGCATGATGAGATCCTCGTCATCCTGCCTCCGACGTACAATGCACAGGTACCTTGCAGACAAGGCACTCCGCCTCACCCGAAGCCTCTAGAAAAAATCTTGTGCTGTTGCTCGTGTGAGTTCGCCGTCTGGGTAGTATGCGGTAGGTTCCTCTGCACAACGGCGCGCGTACACGTCGGGGTGGAAGACACCGCTGGTATAAGCCCACGCTGCGCGGCATGTGAGGCCTACTCGGTACAAGGCTGCATCCTCGAGAAAGTCACCCAACCTATCTCCAGTTCGAATAAGGATCTGGATGAAGTCTGGTGCTGCCTCTCCGGGTGTCATAGCGCGGTTTGCACTGTGGCTCGACACGTTTACGGAGTTCCGTGAAGGGTTTCCGCTGAACACGCTCTTACTGATGCGCCTCCAACGAACTTGAGCACCGCTTAGGGTCGATCGCCAAAGGGGTCGGGGTGTCGCTACAATCGTGGGAAACTATGGATGGGGCTTGGGATCAACCTCACAACATCACATAGGCTGGTTCGTCGCATGGCGCGAATCGCAATAGTAGACTCCAAGAATTAATCACTGGTTCCCAACCCGCTCAACCCATGGGTGCTTCTTCTTCTCCTCACCTTTCTCACGGAAGAACATGGGTCGTGCCCGCACTATCCAAGGTGTGCTCTGTAGATTGTCGTACAAGCACAGTGGCAAGCATTCAGTCTAGGCTCCACACATACCCGAGCGCTAGGGATGGAACAGCATTGATGTGGACATGACAATACGTAGCCTGGAGAAGCTGAGCATTGCTCCATCGTCGACAAGCGGTATCCGTGCTCCGGCTCACAGACCCAATGATATCCACGCTTCCCTGTCCACCGATGGCAGCGCTTCTCCCCAGATTCGTTCGTGCCACGATACTTTACTCAGGTCATACTTAGCATGCACGACAGGAGCAAGAATCGCATAGAGGCCGCGTCTAACCCTTCCTCCCTGTTACAGGCAGCCATGGGACAGCTGTTCCGACTCGTGCTTTCCGGGACGCTGGAGCCTGCGCCCCGACACCCTTAGGATTCGAATACGAAATGGGGCATTTAAGGAGCAAGTCGAGCAGCTCTTGCACGAGACAATCTACTCGTATCCATACCATCAGATCCTTCAATACCCATCATCCATCAGGGCAGCCCTCAGACCATCACCAGAGACCCCGGGTGCACTCTGTGCCAGGTACACCGATCGCGCAAGTACCTGCCGTACGGGGCGCGACGCACGTTCTCACACCTCCAGATGCATCCCAGTTGCTTGTAATGACCCCGAGCCACCAACTATCATCACGTAGGTCCGTCCCACCTCGCCATGGCGTCGCTCCGCCGACGCGAGCTGCTGCAGATCCTGTACCGCTCTGAGGCCAAGGCGCCCCTCCTCGTCTTGCTGGCGGCCTCCCCCTCCCTGCGCATCGCGGTGCCCTGTGCCCAGCTCAGTCCCGCCGCGGCGGGGACTGGGTCCCGCGTGTCCGTCGCCATCAAGGCCACGCACCCCGGTGGGGAGGTGCTGCTGGACTGCGGGGTGTACTGGAGCGGTGCCCCCCCCGGCCCCGTGGCCATGCACTACACAGCCCTCCTGGCCCACGCCGATGAGGACACCCTGGAGGGCCTCGTGTCCCGTCTGGACCAGGTTGGGCATGCCGTTGTTAACTTTTAGGCCTGTCTGGGTCGGGCGGCGTGGGATCGTGACTGCATGTCATGCACCTCTGGTGCGGCCCACAAAGCAATCCCAAGGCACTGGCCATGCAGGCAGGAGGATGCCTTGCCTGTGTCCTGAGCTCCAGGGAGCCGGCTGGAGGCAGGAGCCTTCGGCAAGAGGTCCTCACCCCCCCTACACACGCACCCTCTCGCCAGGCACCCTGCCTGACACCCTCGCACCCCTTGCGACCCTCCCCCGCCCCGGGCAAGTTGGCGGTGTCCACCCTGGCTCGCGCCCTGAGCCAGGAGGAGTCGGGTCTGGGCGTGGCCACCCCCTCGCCCCAGGCCAGCCGCCCGCAGGGCCCCGCCGCCTACGCCTCGGCGCCCCAGCGCACGCTGCCGCGCATGCTGCTGAGCAGCGTGGAGGAGAGCGCGCCGCGCTCGCCCTGCGCGCCGCCCGGCGGTGGGCCGGGCTCCGACTGGGCCGGGACCGCCTCCCCCGTCGGGTCCAGCCTGGTGGAGGACCTGGACGCCTGCCCCACGCCCCCCTTCAGCAACGTGTTCACGCCGCCGTGGGCCGCGGCGTCGCCCGAGGCTCGGCGCGGGCCGGCGCTGACGGGGCGCCCGGGCGCCGACGCCGCGGCGCGCATCGCCGCGGCGATGGCGCACATGGGCGCCGCCACTCCGCACCTGGCGGAGGCGCTGGCCGACATCGCGTCGGCGCACGGCGCGGGGAACGCCCTCTTCGAACAGACGCATGTGAGGCGGCCATTGCTTGGAGGAGTTGGAGGGGGGAGGTGACTGACGGACAACGGGAAAGGGTGGAGAGACCCCACGCAAGAGTGCCAGGTCGGGGTGTGCCAGACTCCATCAGGCGCATCGTTTACGCATGCAGTCCTGTTCAGGCCAGGTCCGACCCCGCGCCCACCTGACGCCCACCTCTGCGGCAGGACCTGCTGAACCGCGTCCTGGAAATGAAGGACGACGCGCAGCATGCGCTGGACCGGTCGACGATGCTGGCCTGCGCCCAGCGCGGCGCCTGCCTGGCCTGATGAGCGAGGTCCTCGTGAGTGGGTGCTCCCGGTGCCTCGCCCGGGGCGCCTTTGCCCTGTCAACCTCGTCGCATGGCGCGTGGGGAAGGAGGCAGTGCCTCCCCTTGCCGGCATTACCTGCAACTAATCCGAGCATGCTCCAAGTGCATGCTACGACATTCCCAGCACATGGAGAGCTTTACTGCACAACAGCTGCACAGCATGTGCGCTCTCCCTGACTCTGACCTCGGGGCATGGCCGACCAGTGACGCGACCTGGCCCCGATTGTTTGCAATAGCCCATACCTGGGGCACCAATGCAACCAAATGCTCGGCATGGGGAGGAGCTGAAACCCCACCGGGCTGGAATAGAACGGAGGGAGTCAGGGAGTACCTTTCCCTGGTCCCAATAAATCCTTTTTACGATAAGTGCTCCAACCTTTCATCCCTTTCAAATTTTCCATGTGCCTACTTTTTTCGAGGTACCTTGTGTACTGTCTCCATACCTTCGAAAATGTCATGCCATCCCATGACACCCTACCTGTGGGTGGGTAGCTTCGTCCCGGGTTCCGTTGTCGGGACCAATAGTGCTGTTGTGGCCCAGCCAACGTCACACATCCGCGAGTTCACATACGCATCTTCCAACAAGATCTCCCCATTGGTTCAACACAACCGAAACTCGATGCGATCATTCACGAGCCGCCTGGCAGTATTGACACCCTCTCGCCTGCATCCGCAGGGCGACGTAGTGGCCTCGATGTCCAAGGGTGAGGCGACGAGGGAAATGCTGTGAGTGAGTGAATGATTGATTCCGGAAACAAAGATTTGTCCTCACCGCCAGAGATACCGCGACCCTTCTCACCCTGGTTGTGTGCACAGGGCTGGACCTCACGTCATGGTCTGCCGGATTCCACTCACAGAGGGCCCTGCTTAAGGGTGAGTCGGCTTGGCTGTTCAATGAATTAAATATGCATTTGTGTTTACCCATTGCTGATCATTCAATCGCAACTTTTTCTTTTCCTGCACGACAGATGGAGAAGAGAAGGCTCAGGAGCATGTAGGGAAGGGTGGTGACCCCCAGACCAACAAGGGTCACAAGATGTACGAGCAGGACAAGACAGCAGGGGGAGCGTACGGTGACAGGGACGACCCCAGCGCGCAAGGTGTTCAAGGTCGTTTGGTGATGCGTGTTGGGGCTTTGTGGACGGAAAATGGGGTTTGGTGCCACACGAATAAGAATGTGGGTGTGGTGTTGGCCAAGGAACCATGCCGTGTGGTCACCTTGATTAACATGGATTCCGGAATGATGACTATTGCCTAGGGAGCAAGAGGATCCTTCTACCCTTTTATTCGTGAGTGCAGTGAGATACTCTCAATCATGATGTCTGAAGACCAAGCCATCACATGCCTCGTTGCAGGCGTACAGCCCACAGAGGGGAGGGATACCTCTGACATAGTTCAGGAGGACACTGCGGCCACCAACGTCACGCCTGCGGAGTCTGGAAATGCCGAGGGCGGGTCGCCCATGGACAAGAGCAAGGACAGTTCAGGTGCGGGAGGATCTTCAACTGCCGGGATGATTGCCCGGCACGGCCGGTAGGTGCAAGGACCGGCATCCACCTCGATCTTGTCATTCCTGCGACGCCCATTCCCTCTATCAATGCCCATGCAGAGTCTGTGCTTGGAGTGCAGCCATCTGGTGGAGGCTAGTGCCTGAAAAGCAACACATGAAGTCCAACTCAATGTCGCTGCACCTGGCCACCCATATCTCTCTTCCCCCCGAATGTCATCATCCTCAAAACGTGTAACGTGGCTGCTGTACAAGGACAACCGCCCTGGTAGGCAAGTAGGACTGGGCCAGCATGCGTCCCAGTCTAAAGTTTCTGCTTGTACATGGTGCCCCCCCCGCACGTGAGGCGCTCCTGGGCCACCAGGTGAGCGAGAAAGGCAGACAGCTGGTCCAGGGTCTTGTCGTAGGGCGGATCGGACACAAACATCTGCGAGAGGGTGTGGAGCGTGCGTCAGGGCCTCCGACAGGGTGCTGCTATCTAAAGTCAGGTATTAGCCAGGCAGGGCAGAACAATGATCACCATGCCCCAGTGCCTGCATGAGCAGGCAGAGCCGCTCGCATTGCCATCTCCTTGTGGTTCCTCAAAAGTCACACCTTGAGCATGTTGTGGATGCGGTCCTGGGGCAGGCTGTCAAAATTCGCCAGCATTCCCAGGATGAACGGCTCGTATGCTGCCATGGCCTGGCATGGGGTGGGCAATGTCAGAGTCGGGGTGATGGAGTTTTGCAGAGCAACAGAGCGCCGGGGTTGATCGCAGCATGCTGGCAGGTGCTGAACACTTGGGATCTGGGTCAGGAGCGGGTCCAGCCTGTACCCCGACATCGACTCACGCCCACCTGTAGGCCTGCATCCAGTGCCGGCCCTCCGCCCTCCGCCCCCTCGTCCTCGGCGGGTGGACCGCTCCAGCCACCGGTGCTGGCCTGAAGGACCCTGTTCCTGGCATACACCCTGGCTCCTCCAGGCTGAGCAGCCTCATGCAGCACTCCTGTGCACAGAGTGTAGCAGTCTGGGCGAGCTGGAACAAGGGAGCAATGGCCCTTCTTCACACATCACCCCCTCAAACCTATGTGCAATTCCTCCACAATTCCCCACAGCCTGCCTTGCTGGACCCAGAAGCTGGCATTCCGTCGCGCCATGGCGGGCGTCTGGCCCGTCTGCTCTGCCAGCTCAGCCTCGCCCCATTCGCTGCGCTCTCGGAAGCTCAGTAGGGTGATGGCTTGCGCAGGGGTCACCTGCAAGGTCGGGGTTGGGGCGATCAGATGTCAGCAACGCAATTCAGAGTGGCAGAATCGAGATATCTGGTGCCTGTCACTGCACTGTTACCTCCAGATGACACAATCAGTACACCATGAGTACTCAATTCGACTGATCCAGGATGATTTTCCACAGCCAAGGCCGTCCTTTGTCCCAGCGGACAGACACATGCAATGCCACCCAAGTCCTGGGTTTCGCGAAGGCATGATCCAGGCACACCAGTCCTGAACCACGCCCCCTCCACAAACCACCCCCCTGGACCCACAACTACTCACCGTGAGCTCCAGGGCCTGGTCCCCCACCGTCACTTCCAGCTGCACCACGCCCTGGGACGGGCACCACTGCAGCTTGCGCGGCGCCTTGAGCGCGTGGTAGGCCTGGCCGTACTCCTCCAGCCAGCTGCCCACGTCGGGCGGCAGCCTCAGGTCCGCTTCGTCGGGGGCAGGCACGCTGCCTTGGGGCCAGTACAGGGCGGAGAGCATGGTGGCGGTGACGGTGGCGGCCCGCTCGCCGCGGGCAGCGCATCGGGCTGCCGACCGGATGTTGGCGTTGATGCGCTTGGAATCCGCCAGGTCCTGGGTGTTTGGTGAGGGATGCATGCCAGGAACGGTGGTTTGTACGGCATGGAGGGCGATTGCCTGATGGCATGGAGATGGACCGGAGAAGTCGGCACACAGCTGCATATGGCGATGTTCCTCCTGCGGCTCGCTGGGCATCAACTCCTGGCAGCTCCGAGGCGCGGCACCCCTCACAGGGCAGCAGATCTCAGCACGCAGAGACCATTGCTCCCCCCTCACCCCACCACCTCAACCCCCCACACCGCCCGAACCTTCCCCACCCCCCCTGGATACCCAAGTGGAACAGCGCAGCAGGCTCCCAGGCCCAAGCCGGGTCACCTTGAGCATGATCTCGGCGGTGTGCAGGACGGCGTCCCCGAAGCGCAGCTTGAGCAGCTCCAGGGTGCGCAGCTCCCGGTCGCAGTCGTAGCCCTGCTTGGCCAGCAGCCTGTCGGCCAGCAGGGACCTGCGCAGTGGGAGGGGTGGTGGGTTTGCTGTTGGGGCCAGGGTGGCAAGGGGCCTGATTGGATCAGGTGCGGGTGGTTACCCTCCCCATGTGGATCCTGCCCCTCGAGCGGATCACCTGCATGCAGCCCTTCACCAGCAACGACTGGTCCGACAGCCCCAGTGGAGTGCACCCCCCTCCAGTGTCGCACCAAACACACTGCACCATCCCACCACACCAATGCGCCAACCCACCGGTACTCGGTCACGAGGAGGTCCTTTGACCCCCAGATGCCCACCAGCTGCGACACGGCATCGCTGCCGGTCACACGCTCCACGGCATCCACTGCGCGGCAATGACGCAAGCCGGTGTTTGTGTCCGAGGGTGTGGCTTGTGGGCGCTTGGACCCCCAAGAAGGAGACAGGGCATGGCCTGCTCGAAGCCCTCCCCCCATTCGCTACGCACAGGAAGCCCACCCACCCCGGCCCCGCACCTGGCTCGGGGCGCCAGCGCTCAGCCTCGGCCAGGGCCTGGAGGTCCGCATCCGGCCCGTCAAAGCAGGGTATCAGAGGGACCTGCATACGAGGACGCAGGGGCCACAGGGGTCGTTCAGCTTGATACTGCTCTGCTGGAAGACCGAGCTCAACTGCACCGTTGACAACACCGGCCTCGCGCCCCTCCCCACCCCCATGCCCCAGCCCACCCCTGCGCCGCCGGCCTCGCCCTCGCCCTCCAGCTCCTCCAGCACCACGTTGTCCTCGCCCTCCTCGTCGGCCGTCAGCAGGCCCACAATGCAGCGGATGGCGTCCCGCCGCGTGCGCAGGTAGTCCTGTGTGGCCGCGCGTGCCGGGGCCAGGGCCGTGTCTGAGGACAGTTTGGGGGGAGGGAGGTGGGACGAGTAGGTGCACATACTCACAATGCTGTGCAGGGCACACCTGGGGGCCGATCCTTGCAGCCAGGGCCGTGCCTGGCTGCACCCTGGGATGCTCGATCCAGCCCAGCAACAGTGGTTCACCGACCTGTGGGGTCCACATGGCGCATGGCCCGAATGGAGAAGATGTACTGCTGCACGATGTCCGATGTGGCCGCGCCTGGAGGGAAGGGAAGCAAGAGTGTGGACTGGCAATGGAAACAAGGGACCTTGGGGCATGACTGACCAGGCACAGACCAGGAGCCAGCGGCGTCCTTCATCAGGCGTTGACCCAATGGGGGGAAAGGTCGAGGAGCAAGACTGTCCCCAAAACTTATCGAAATAAGCAGGCTCCTCCACCTGGATGGAGCAGGCGCTTCTTGGTGGCTGCAGCAAAGCACTGCGCCACATGGCTGAGGAGACTGGTGTTCTCCAGGCAGGCACGCAGGTCGTGTAGGGTCGGCAGGCTGGGGCGGCGGGGACAGCAGTGCGGAAGATTGGGGTCAAGGGCAGTATTTACCAGCGGCATGGGTATGGTTTGCGACATGCACAGCGCTCCATCCATCTTTCTATGCACGCAGCTCCCCAACCTGCAAGATTCAATGCTCCAGAGAACCCCAGCAACCCCCGGTCGACCAGACGAGCAATACCTGTCGGGGAAGTCCACCACCAGGTCAAAAAGGGAGTCGGTGAAGATGAGGCCGGCCCGCTCGTAGACAAAGTAGCGCAGGCGCTGCTCCCACAGGTGCCAGCCAGAGGCCTGTGAGGGGAGGTTTGATGGTGGTGAGAACCCTGGAGAACTGGGCAGTCTGGTGTTTGACATTGTGACCCCCGGCTCGTGTGGCAATGGCGGACCCTCTGCCTGGCATCGCCTGGCCACGGCCTCTACAAATGTTAACCTCACATGCGCCCGAAACACAATGTGCCAAAACCAATCCCTACATACCCCCGCCTCGGGCAGGAGCTGCTGCAGGAGGCGGAGTGGCCAGGAGGCAGTGTACTCAAGAGCCTCGGCGAGCCAGGGCGCAGAGGCGTTCCGCGTCGCCCGCTCCTCGAGGTGGGCCTGCAGGTGGCTCAGCGTCCCCGCCACCGCCGCCTCGACGCTCAGCTCCTGGTGGAAGGTTCGGGGGGGGCGGGGACGCATGGTGTTTTGCTGGGGAAACATGGCAGCAAGCGACCCCGGATGCCATGACAGGGCGCGGTGTTCCGATCAGGACCATTGCGTGATGGTTTCAGAGCATATGGGATTCCTCGTGGCCGATGGGCCAGCAGGAAGGTCGTCCCAGTGCCCTCACTCTGCAGCACCTTTGCTCCCATGCGCTCCAGCAGCGCGGCGAGGCTGCGTGCCTCCTCAAGCGCCCGGCCCTGGCCATGAGGATGAGGCAGAGCGGCTGGAGCTTGCTGACCAGGGAATCAACATGTTGAACAATCGACATTCACAGGCCAGCATCCTGCGTGCGACAGGCAGAGGCGCACCGTGTCATCCCGGCTGAGGGTGTCCAGGGTGTGCTGGAAGCAGCCCTGGAGGGCCCGCCCCAGCTGGGCAAGCGTGTCGCGCCTGAGCATTGTCACCACCCCACAGGATGGCAGAGGGGCTGCCCGGGATCCCCCAGGGTGTGTCGGTCTGGCCCGATCACTCAGGTGCATGGACTCCTCCAGGGTCTGGCCGGGGAGGGGGTGGGGAGAGGTGCTGCGCATGACGCACGCTGGCAACCTACGCAATGATGCACGCCACGCATAGTTCACGTACCTGCAGGATGCTTTCCAGCTCGTGGCAAGATGTGGGGAGTGCACCTGACGCACACAGCCGCTCGTGCAGGGCCTCCGAGACGATCTCATCTGCATCCATTGGCAGCCTGTGAGTCATTGTCCAGCCAGAGCTCGCGAACGTGGGCAAAAGGGTGGTCATATAAACGTTTCTGGTTGTATTCGACGCTCGTTATTGATCACAGTGGCTGCTTGCTGATGAGGATGGCCCCGGGCATCCCGGGCAGGAGAACCGTACACATCAAAAGTGCCAAAATGGGGAGTGATCTGGAGACAGCGACTGCCTGTAATTGCCGGGTCGGGCCTGAATCTAAGGCATGACACCGATCACCCCTCATTCAGCATCGATCAATGTCACTGGTGATGTGTATGAGGCTGACGGGGTGGGATTCGAGCTCACGGGCGCGCGCGAGGACCCCACGTGATAAGGAAGTGGTATGGGGGAGGGTGGGGAAAGGGTGAAGCGCAAATGGGCATTAGCAATGCACTTCTCGATCAGTATGAGCTTTACGAGCTAGCCTACTCGCATAGTATGCTCGTACAGGCTCGCGAGCGCCTATCAGGAGGAGCGTGGAGTCCCGCCTTCGGAGTGTGGGGTTGAGCGTATGGGCAACAAGGTGTCGACCCGTACGGTGAGGTGCTGGTGCGTGCGCTCCCAGGACCCTCTCATCGAGTTGGCAAACAATCCTTTGCGTATATTGAGCCAATGCCCATCTTCCAACAATAGGCTCGACGGAGTTCCCAGAAGCATCCCGTCCCCAGCCCCGGCCAGCCCGGGCCTGCACCGTCGGCCCCCGAGGAGGATTCAGGGGAGGCGCAGGACGGGGATGAGGGGTACGGCCTGCGTTTTGAATCATGTCCGATCATTCGCAGCGCCTCCCAGGCCTCCCTGAGCGACAAGGCGGTCAGCGACTACGAAACCTTCATGCACCGGCAGCTGGAGCTGAATGAGGCTCGGAGGAGTGAGATCCTGGCCAGCCTGGGCGTCGACTTCCACACGCCCCAGAACCGCTTCGACAACATCACCGCCCTGGTGAAGAGCATCTTTGGGGTGGGCTTGTCCACGGTGTCCATCATCGAGGGCGACATGGCCTACTTCATGTCCCGTGCCGGGGACTGGGCCCCCGGCGCCCCGCGCAAGATGACGTTGTGCCAGTGCCTGTCTGCTTGCAACGACTCCAAGCTGCTGGTCGTGGAGAATGTGCAGATGGACCCCAGGTGGGTGGGGGAAGTGTGGCGATGGAGTGGGCACCAGTGCCACTTGCCAGTCTTGCGTGACGGCATGCAAGTTTGCTCTGGGGCCCACCTGCACGCACAGTCGACCCCCGGGACAGTAACTGAATGTAGTGTATGTCCCACTCCTACATTCCCTTTTCCAGATTTATGAACAACCCTTTTGTGAAGGGACCACCCAACATTTCTTTCTATGCTGGTGCTCCCCTGATCTCAAGCTTTGATGGGTCCAGCTACGGCACCCTGTGAGATGGGTTTTGTTTTCCGGGGCAATTGTTTCTGGGACTTACATGTCACTCATCTTCTGCTTGTGCGAAGGGGGTTTGAAGCGCACGATCCGAAATTATCCTCGGTCCCATGGAGCCTATCTGGGACCTGCCGTGTGCTCTGCACTGCAGTAACCACCGGATTAGGATGTGTGATGTTTATTTTGTAGCAACAGCCTGAGATTAATGCAACGAATGACGGAACCCAGGGCAGACCCTCAGCGTCCTCCAATCCCCCCCCCTTCCCCATAACTTTGCCTTCCAGGTGCCTCGTGGACTTCAAGCCTCGCTCTTTTCCCCCGCACATGTATGCCATCCTGGCCCAGTTTGCCGAGATAGTGACCCGGGAGCTGGAGCGTGACAAGGTAGGGTTGAGCAGCAGGTGGCTGGAGGGTGTAGCTGCCGCTGTTACATAGTTGATGTGAGGTTTTTGGGTGGCGCCACCTCCAAGGCAGGGAATCGTGGAGGCTGTACTTTCCTTTCGTGGGGAACAGCACTGTCTCCCACACACTGTCAGCCGTCAGGATACGGGTGGTTGTAGGGTGAATCGGGGGGAGCAGGGACCGATCAAGCACATCTTGGCACCGACCCTGCCCCCCACCCCCCTCATTCTCCATGATCCTCACAGGTCCTGGCCCTGCAGAAGGAGGCCATCACCGACTACGCCCTGCACCGAAACTCCATTGTGCAGTCCCTGGACGCGGTGGTGGAGCCCATCGTGGTGATTGACACCGGCCCCAGCCACTGGCCCGTGGTCTACATGAACCCCCCCGCCGGCGAGCTGACCGGCTGTCAGGCCTTTGTGGATTACCTCCAGCCCGAGCTGCCCTCCTTCTGGTCCTTGTTCCGCCTGGCGGAGGACGACACGGCGCCCCCCGCGGGCAGCGGTGCACGCGGCGGCGAGGCCGGCGGCGGCGGCGCCGCCACCGCCGCCTCTGAGTCGGGCAGCGGCACGCCCAGCATGCGGCAGCTGGCTGCCGCGCAGGCGGCCGCCGCAACGCTGGAGCCCTTCTCGCTGCGCGTGGTGCCGCGGCGCGGCGCCGCGACGCGGGGTGGCAGCGGCTCCACGGCGCCGAGCGACTCTGTCGGCGGCTCTGGCGCCCAGAGGGACGGCGGCGGTGGCGGCCCCGGGCCAGTCCCAGACGATCCCAGAAGCTCGGGCCCCGCCGCTGCGGGCGCCAGCGCCTCCAACCCCCACACCGCCAGCAGCGGCGTGTCCTCCGGCTCCTCCGCGCCGGGCGGCCCCGCCTCGGCCCCGATCCTGCTGGACCTGAAGCCGGCGCACACCTCGCACTTGCGCTCCGGGGCCACGCCCGACCTGGGCATCCCCGTGGTGCGCGAAGATTCTCTTGACTCTGCGAGCGACACGCTGGCCTCCTACTCGGAGCTGGACCCGGCGGCCGTCGCGGCCGCCACCGCGCACGCGGCGCTGGGCTCGCTGGAGGGCCCGCGGCGCGAGACCATGTACTTTTGCGTCGCGCGGCGCGCCGACGCGCCGCCCCCCGGCGCGCGCGCGCCCAGCGGCGCGGAGCGCGAGCGCCTGGCCGGGTCCATGGTGGCGGCCATTGCGTCGGGCATGGACGCGGCGCTGGTGGCGGAGACGCCCGTGGGCGGGCTGGCCGCCTCGCGCCGCCTGGCCCTGCCCGCGCACCTCTTCGCGCAGCGCCCGGGGCTGATGCGCGAGGTCACGCTGGGCTGCCTCATCGGCGTGGGCAGCTCGGGGCGCACCTACCGCGGCATGTGGCATGGCGGCCGCGTGGCCGTCAAGATCGTCGAGTGCTGGGCAGACCCGGGCGCGGGGGCCCTCCTGCGCCAGCGCTCCGTGGAGGTCCGCGCCGAGCAGGACACGCACGCGGCCGTGGTGGAGGCCGCGCTGGGCCGCGCCCTGGCCCACCCCCACATCGTGCCCACCTACGCCTACGCCGGCACCCAGGGCGAGGTGAAGAGGCGAGGGGGGTCTGTGCTTGGGTGTGTGTGCCTTGGCGGGGGCCGCGGAGCACCAGGGTGGAGGGCGGGAGTGTGTGGGTACTGCAGGGTGCCCACCGCCCCATCACCACGCCCCCCACCCTGCCATGCACACATTCATTCACCAACCCCCCCTTTCCCCACAAAATTAATATCCTCCAGGTGGACGCGCGCGGCCTGGTGCACTCCGCCACCTGGATCGTGCAGGCCTTCTGCAGCCGTGGGTCGCTGATCGAGGCCGTGCAGCGCGGCGACCTGGCGCAGGACGGCCAGCCCAACCTGCGGGCCATCCTGAGCACTGCGGGGGAGGTGGGCGGGGATTAGTCATCCGGAGTGAGGAGGGGGGGGGGGGGGTACGGAATGCGTGTAGGTGGGAAGGCCCATCGAGATGGTGTGAAGCAGAAGGGCAGGTGGGGGCTGTGCCCTGGGGTGGATGTGGGCGATGACATCGTGCGGCGCTTGGGAGGCATCGGGTTTTGCGGGGCAGCGTGTGCGGATGCGCCTTGCGAGGTGAGGACCCGCAGCTCGAGGCCAACAGGCAGCTCCACCGCCGCCGCCGTCGCCCACCCCTCCCACTCCTCCCTTTCCTCCCAAAGATCGCGGGGGCGCTGGCCTACCTGCACTCCTGCGGCATCATCCACGGCGACCTGTCGGGCAACAACGTGCTGCTCACCGCGCAGCCCAACGATGCGCGGCGCTGGGTGGCCATGGTCTCCGACTTCGGGCTGTCCCGCATCCGCGGCATGCAGTCGGTGCACTCCGCGCCGCATGGCACCGTCACCCACATGGTGCGAAGGGAAGGGAGGGGGAGGGGAGGTGCTGTGGAGTTGATGCTTGGGGTCAAGGGTTCTTGGCAGTGTTTGGAAGCCAGGTGTGCAGTATGGGGAGGACATGACCGAGGGATTGCCGAGGGAATGCCTGCTTCGACTTTTGCATGGAGTAAAGCGACAGTCTCGAGGAGTGTTCCCAGGTGGGAGCCTCTAGCTCCTCCCATTACACCCCCGAAAACTCCCTCCATCCTTTCCTCCCTGCAGCCCCCGGAGCTGCTGCGCGGCGGGCCGATGACCCACGAGGTGGACGTCTGGAGCTTCGGCACCCTGCTCTGGGAGATGTGCGCCGGGAAGCGGGCCTGGGACACGCTTTCCTACCACCAGGTCCTCCATGCCTTGGTCAGCGAGGGCCAGACGCTGCCGGTCAAGAGCCTGTCGGGCGTGCCGCCGCTGCTGCAGGTGGGCTTTATTTTTTGGGGGGTTGTTCCCTTGATACGGCTTTGGTTCTTGATGGCAGGGGCGCAATCGTGAGGCTTGGCCGGGGGGGGGGATCACGAAGTGCATCCTGTGAGGCAGATGACGTTTGCCGAGGGACAGGAGAACGCTCCACGAGGGATGGACCGATGGCGGTGACCCCGGGCTACACGATCGACAACCAAGATCCTCTTGAGTACAGAAGGCAGCAGGTTCAGACATGGATGTCCCTCCCTCTCTCACCAACCCCACCCTCCTCTTCCGCAGGAGCTGATGGCGTCGTGCCTAGCCACAGACCCCAACGACCGCCCCTCCTTTGCCAGGATCGGGCAGAAGCTCGGCCAGATGGCGCGTGCCCAGAGGCCAAGATCCTCGCAGTGACCCAGCAGCCCCCTGGTATGCTGCAGCTGGGCAGAAGCCCTACGATGCAGTGTCGAGGACCCCGCAGCTCCCTAGGCCAACCCTGCCGCCTGAAGAAAGCCTGATATACGTGGGACGGGGTAAGCCGCGGTGCAATTGAATCCCTTACTATACCTTCGAATACCGTTTTCTGCCCCCCCCCGGGTCCGCGACGGCAGGACTCACCTGCTCGCCCACGGGGGTATGGCCAAGCCCAACCTTCCCCACCATACGCTTTCCGTCGAACATTTCATCTCGTTCCCTGAAACTTACAAAATCCCCATCCCTGGGGTCCCAGATGTGGAGCATCTGGTGGTCCTGTGTTCCTCGACCCTGGATGCTCTGCTTGCCGGTGCGTCATGCGAGCGTCCTGGATGCCATGATAAGTTTTGCATAATTTAAACACTCTTTACAATGTCTGTTCGCTGCCAGGGAGTGAGTGGCTGGTTTAGGCAGAGGTGGGTGGATGAGGCGAGGCAGCTACGCCTCAGCTGGTCAGCCTGTGCATGCCATGGTATGAGTTTCCAGGTCATGGAAACCAGGGGATCAGCTGTTTCCGGATATCCTGTGTAAGGTTGTCGCTGGCACGAAATTGATCAGTGTCCAGGTGTGCCACGTATCCACTTGCCCTCTCCAACCAAGGACGGGGACGATCTTTGGGGGACGGCAACCCCCATCGATATTACACGTCGAGCTTCAGCCCCCACATCTCGTTGCTCCATGTTGTTGATCTTAGTACTTTAAACTTTAACTTCCGCCATGCATGGCTAGCGTTCTTCGTGCCTCGAGGTCTGACCATGTTTGGCAAGATCAGTTTCAAGACCCAGGTCGAGCTGGTCAGCCTCAAGCTCGACTTCGTGGATGGAGCTCATGCGCGTGACCTAGATGATGAAGAGTACGTCGAGCAATTGCATGCATGCGCTTATTCCTCCCTAGCGGCGAGCACGGCTTTGGCCCACGGCACGACCTCACTTGCCGAGGCTCACCGCGCACCTCAGGACGTTGCTCCTTTCCCCCTCACACAAAATAAACAGGTCGCCAGCCTCCCTTCACTCCACCACCCTGTCCTGGCCGGCGGCAGAGCCCAGGGACCAGGTCCTGGCGCGGGTGCGGGAGGCCCTAGAGGCCCCCTCCCTCTGGCAGGAGTTTGCGCGCCTCACGCTGCACACCGCCGAGGCCCCCTCCCCCCGCCGCCTGGTCCACGCCTCCTCCTTCCACTCAGAGCGCGTGCGCGCTGACCTCACCGTCCAGCGCGACAAGCTGGTCCTGCACTCCGTGGAGGTGGGCGCCCCCCCCTCGGCGCCGGAAGTGGCGACGCTGAGCGCCGCGCTGCGCGCGCTGCCCCTGGCCTCGCTGGGGTCCCTGCGCTGGCGCGGCCCCGGCGCCGCCGCGCTCTGGGCCGACCAGGACGTCTTGCGCGCCCTGGGTGCCAGGCTCACGCGCCTGGACCTGGCGGGGAGCGCTCTGGGCGCGCTCCCTGCGTCGGTCGGGGCCCTGCGCGAGCTGCGCACGCTGGACCTGACGGCCTGCGGCCTCAAGCTGCTGCCGCCCGTGCTGGGGTCGCTGACCGCTCTGCGCAGCCTGCACGCGGATGGCAACGACATCAGCCTCATCCCGGGGGAGCTGGCGCGGTGCGCCTCGCTGCGCACGCTGAGCCTGGAGGGCAACAGGCTGACCCACGTGCCCCTGAACTTTGCAGCGCTGCGCCAGCTACGCACGCTGAGCCTGCTGAGCAACCCGCTGGAGGTGCTGCCGGAGATCGGGCCCTGCGCCGCGCTGACCAACCTGTCCGTCGCCAACCTCAGGTCGCTGGGTTTGCAGGGGTAAACGGGGCGGCTCTCGAACAGGGTGGGGCCGGTGCTGGGCGTGGGCATCTGCACCGACGCCGTGCATGGTCGCACGCTGCTCATACCAGTGCCAAGCCCACCTTCCCTGCCCTCCATCTGCTTCAGGGTGACGAGCTCGCTGGACGGCTCCGATCTCTCCGTGCAGCTCCTGCCCCTGTCTGGCCAGGGGTACGGCCTGTGGGGGGAGTCACGGCGCGCGGCAGACAGGCTTCGCCCCATCTTCGAGCTCATGCTGCGACGCAGCGCGGGGCACCACCCCATCCTCTCCCGGTCCCTGCGTGAGTCACTGCAGTGGGTGTGTGAGGGGGTGCAAAGTGGAGAGCTGGAGGACGGGAACGGCGTGATGGTCTCGTCACAATGGCCTTGTAAAAGCTGCGTGTACACCCTCAGCTCCTTGACTCCAGCTGGAGCTCCCTTGTTTGGTTCCACCTCCCAGTGTGCAATGAGCAGAAGTGGGCTCAGCACGACGTTGCTCACAGCCACTGACAGCACTGCCCTTCCCCGACCTCCTGCCACCGCTTGCATGTGCCCCACCCCCATCACTCCCCCCTCCTCAAGGTGGGAAGCCGCCATGTCAGCACCCACCCGAA